CAAGCCGCTCGGAAGATTTTTTTCACCCGAAAGGGAACCATCGAGTTTTTTTACTTCCGGCTGGTTTTGTCTTAGGGTCCTCACCACCCCACTAGGGGGGAGTGAGCTGTAGCGGTAAATAATTCCCCAAAATTATTGACCACAGCAATCACTCATTGGATGCTGACCACCACTGTTTAAGTCGACTTGTTTAGCTGAAGGCTTCCTGTCAAGCATCCCCGCCATTTGGTACCCCGTCGTGTCACGTACACGATCACTAGCTAGCTAAGCGTTCGTCTGAAGGCTTGTTTTGGTCCCGAAATATATCACGAAGTCTGGACGATCAATTATTGGCTTTTGCTTTGTTTTCGGTACGCGAGAATAATTTAGAGGCTGTGTAAGATAATTCCGTCAACTCTAAAGCACCTTGCAAGCATCGACTTCAGAGGCGAGATCAACTGTGAATAAATCCTCATATCGTTGATACCATGTCTCAAAAGTAACATTAGCATCTGGATCATAATTGAATTGTGTAATACTATTTACAATTCCATCGACAGATGGTAGCATGGTATGATTCGGATTGCTTGAAGGTGAAACTGAACCAGTTTGTTGGTTGATGAGCATTTCCATCAATTTCCTTTGTTGCTCAAGCAGTAATTATCTTGAAAGTCCCCATTTAGTCATATGAAAAAGAGAAGACGTTCAGCGAATAGACACTTTTCGGCGAATTCATTCACATAGCTGTACAATCGCATTTATATATAATTATTTGTGTGTGTGTGTGTGTATACATGAGGTTTGTCAAGTTTAGATAATTGGTCAGATAATAAAAGAATGATCTAATATAGAAACAAGGTTAATTGGACAGCAACTAAAGTAAGATTGAGTTAGTAAGTTAGATGACGTAATACAATAGACTAAAATGTTTTAACTTAGGTTAGGGTAGCAACAGAGGTAATTGCTCAATTTCATTTCTAATTTAAATGGCATTATTATCTACCCAACTTCTACTTAGTCTCTACCTGTAATTACCTCTGTTGCTACCCTGACCTAAGTTAAAACATTTTAGTCTATTGTATTACGTCATCTAACTTACTAACTCAATCTTACTTTAGTTGCTGTCCAATTAACCTTGTTTCTATATTAGATCATTCTTTTATTATCTGACCAATTATCTAAATTGACAAACCTCATGTACACACACACACAAATAATTATATATAAATGCGATTGTACAGCTATGTGAATGAATTCGCCGAAAAGTGTCTCTTCGCTGAACGTCTTCTCTTTTTCATACAAGCAGTAATTCCAATTTAGAAGAATCCATAATTTTCCCATTCGCCAAATTATGTTATGTACTGCTGTTGAGTGAGTTATTAGAGTTTTACCCGTCGCCAAATTATTGTTGTGTACTGGTCGAGTAGCTAGTAGTCCTGACGCAAGAAGGCGGAAATCAGAAAACCACCAGGTTCACGATGATACTTGTATTTTCAAACACAAGGAAAAATCAATGTCACACAAGAGTGTGAGTGAAAAAGTATCAATGTCCAAACAAGTGTGTGAACACAAGTGTATGAGCGGATGTTCAAAATGAACGAATCAATAGACAGTCTTAACATGATTGTTAATTGTAATGGAATATCGATCCGTATATACATAGCAAAATATAACAGACTGTCAAACAAACACACATATTGTGTGGATATATATCACGAACTCAGATTTCGTCTGCGTTTAGTTCATTATAGTTGATGCAACTCCTCAAAACAGCCATTTCACTCCTTATCCTGAAAGTGTCGCGGAAACTCTTCCTTACAGTTCAAGGACGTACTTATTCCTTTATCAGAGGCAACTATAGTTTGCGATGTATCTACCGGCACTAATCTTCGGTTTGTTCCTCTCAGATGCTGAACAGCGTTGTTTCAACACTTACATTCGCTTTCTCATTCTGGAGTACGTGCTACGGTCAGACTTATCAGCGAACGTTTCGTGTGGCCTAGAATGAACTCTGACATTCGGAGATGGGCACGGGAATGTCTCCAATGCCAATGCTCAAAAAAAGTACATCGCCACACTGTTACAACGCCGAAGACGTTTGGTTTACAAGAAAAAAGATTTCAACATGTTCATATAGACATTGTAGGACCACTACCAACATCAAGAGTATATTATACACACATATCCTGACAGCGATCAATAGGTTTACTCGATGGGCTATTACATGCCTCCTAAACGATATATCTGCAGAAAATGTTGCTTTGGTTTTTCTCGACCGTTGGGTGTCAAATTACGGTGTACCAACTACTATTACATCCGACTGAGGCGTTCAATTCCAATCGACGCTGTTTCGTGAAGTAACGAGACTCCTTGGAGTGAAACATATCTCCACAACAGCTTATCATCCGGCAGACCAGTCCTGTAGCTTCATTTTACATTTTACACGGAGCAAATAATAAATAGCATGTTGAAAATTCCTGTCTATGAATCTGTCTGCTACAACTCCATTATAGATAAGATTTTATTTTGATAAACTGTCTCACAGTGTAGTTTTATACAGTAATATTAACTGATGACCACAAGTTTCAAGCACAAACTATTGCCACTCATAATCATATCAAGTCACTCACCCACTCACTCACTCACACAACTTTCTTGTTTCCTTCATTTATATACATGTGTGGAATTGATGATTAGATATGTGAATACAAATCAGTAATATAGGAGACAATGTTCATTCAGAAATAATAATAATAATATGAGTGTTATTCATCAAATACAATCAGATGGGAAATTAGACGAGTGTTTTTATAGTTAAAATAAATAACTTGTTAGAATGTTGTGATGTACGTGAACTGAATTGAAATAGAATACAATTTAAGATTATTTATTATCCTCCTCTGATTTCACTGACTGACTGACTGAATCACTGATGGTAATAATATCTTCCATATCTCTGGTATTTGCATTGAGTCATTTCGATTGTGCATGTGTTGGGTGTAGACTGGATGAACCAGGCAGGATTCAGTAATCAACCTCTCTCTCTCTCTCTCCACCTACCTAGATTACTTCTTAGAATTTTAACCCTCTCCCACCATGCTATTTTGTGATTGTGTGTTAATGCATGCATGCAGTGCAATGTAGTGCTGAGCTTTTTTCCAAATTACTCATCTTCTCGGGGTCAACCATTCTTACCTTAGCTAAATTCTTATGTTCCGACAATCTGATTACCCCCGATCTACTAGTTTGTCCTGTGTATGTAGTTGATCTAACTCACAGTCAGTGTAAGGTATTTTGTAAATTATATTATTTTGTGTAATTGGGTCAACCGACAGGGTCCTTTAACCTACAGAGCTTGTCCTATCTGAGTGAGTTTTTAGGTTTGAATGCCACCAGCCTAATTCCTGCTTTATTAAGAATCCTACGTAGGGAGGGTTTCAGATGTCCCCTCCCTCCTTATATGGTATAACAGTTGATGACTTATATTCTCTCTTATTTATGTTATCATTGCGAGTTTCACAATTATTTTTATCTTGCTTTTGGCCTTTTTCAATCTTCCTAATAAATTTTATAGGGTAGTTAGCTATTTGATAGCAACGCTTCTTCTACTTGTTTCATTTCATCATTCAGGTCTTTTCTTGTACTACTTAGTGCTGCTGCTCGGTTTGTTAGACACTTAACTTAACTAGGTCTGCCTTCACAGACAGTTGACGGATGAGATGAATTAAAGTCTAAATATCTATTAGTAGAATGCGTCGGTTTTTTATAAACGCTAGTGCGTAGTTTACCTTCTTCTATTCATTTTATTTTAAAATCTAACATACTTGTGTCAGTGACTTGATATGATTATGAGCAGTGATAAATTTTGCTCGAAACGTGGTCATCGGTTAATATGGCTGTATAACACTGTGTGATCTATCAAAATAAAATATTATTTATAATGTAGTTATTACTATCAGTACTTTTCAGTTCTGATTGCTTGATATATTTAAGTTCTTCCCTTGATAACTAATTGTTCAGTTAAGTGGTGTAATTGAAGTATAATGTATTTTATCTTGATTTTAATCTCTTATACACCCTTAGCCTTCTCTTTTTGAACATGACCTGAATAACACTCAAATATGTCGTTTTGAATAATTCGATTCAATGTAGTTTATGTCCCAATGTATTTCCGATATTATATGTACATATCAAAGCAAGGATCGGGAAAGCAAGAAAAGCCTGCATTACCCTTCAGTCTGTGTGGAGGTCAACATCACTCACCATCAAAAATAAGATCCCGATTTTCAACTCCAATGTGAAGCCAGTCAGTGCTACTAACATACGGATCAGAGATTTGCACTGTGCGTCATGAAGAGCATCTCAAACAACCTACAGATCTTCATTAACAGTCATCTTCACTCAATACCACTCAAGATCAGATGGCTGGCCAGAAAAGATCAGGAACAGGGAGGGATCTCTGTCAATCAGCGAACCAACCATCACAGCAGGAACCGACTGTGAAACAAATAGGCAGGAAGAAATGGAGATGGATTGGCTGGCCATTCTCTGAGGAAACCATCAAGTGAGTGACATCACTAGACAAGCCATTTCTCGAGTGGAACCAGGCCGAAAGGGAAGCGGGTGGCGAGTTGGTCGTGAGTGCAAGTGTAGGGTGACTTGGACGAGGTTATGTGAGGAGGAGATGAAAGCATGTGGTCAGACTTGGAGCGGAGTGAAAATGTTGTCAGAAATCAGAAGGCAATGGAGACTTGGGCGGCTGAAGCCCATATGTTCCTCTAGGCATTAAAGGAAATAATAATACGTGTAGAATACGCGGAAGAGTTCCACCGAAATTTGATGAATTTATTAAATCCTGCTTTATTAACCTTTGTTGCTGGTTTTAAATACGCATGAGGAAATAAATGTTTCCAGTATTTATAGACACCTGACAGCGATTTACACATCTATTCATGTTAAAATTTATTAGTGTTTTTCATAATCATTTTCGTCCTAGCCAGAATTTTCTTGTTTAATTCAAGGAACCGTTTATTCCACTCGATCATTTCAGCTTAAACAATGTGAGATCACCTTATCAAGTCTTGAATCTCGACTTCTTGAAAGAGAAAGTCAACTGACAAAATGTGTTGGACAGTACAGCCAATACAATTCAGTTGACCGTGTTCAATGCTCACAGCTAACAGATTTAGTCAAAGATCTTAAACAACAAATCACAGAGCATAAGAAAATGAATATGATTTCAAAAGTAAGTCTTAAAATCATCGAATTAGCATAACACATTTTTACAAAGTTTACGGAGAAGTTATCAAAAGAAACGATGCGTTAACCAATTTTTGTATGTTACAATAAGCTAATTCAGGGTAAAATTCAACGACTAATCAAAGTGCAGATAAGGAATTCTCCCGTGTTATGTCTTATGTTTTGATTAACCATGATTTTGGGGACATTCATGCGGTCAATATCTTCTTGTCATTTTTATGATTTCTCTCTTATAAATATTCACTGTTTTACATTTCACAAATTAGATGGACACGAATTTTGGGTATATCCTTTTTTTTCTTTGTTTCACTGAAGAAGTTTAATAGTTTGATGGGCAGATAAGATCCGTTCCTAAGCAATTCAAATACACGAGTAACTGAATATATCCATAATCTAGTATATACATAATCCTATATGTATTTTTATGCTTTATCTATATATCTATCTTATAAAGTCAGACAAAAAGTAATACATGTATTATTATATCCTTTAGTTCCTAGAGGAACATAGGGCTTCAGCCGCCCAAGTCTCCATTGCCTTCTGTTTTCTGACAACATTTTCACTCCGCTCCAAGTCTGACCACATGCTTTCATCTCCTCCTCACATAACCTCGTCCAAGTCAGCCTCACACTTGCACTCACGACCAACTCGCCACCCGCTTCCCTTTCGGCCTGGTTCCACTCGAGAAATGGCTTGTCTAGTGATGTCACTCACTTGATGGTTTCCTCAGAGAATGGCCAGCCAATCCATCTCCATTTCTTCCTGCCTATTTGTTTCACAGTCGGTTCCTGCTGTGATGGTTGGTTCGCTGATTGACAGAGATCCCTCCCTGTTCCTGATCTTTTCTGGCCAGCCATCTGATCTTGAGTGGTATTGAGTGAAGATGACTGTTAATGAAGATCTGTAGGTTGTTTGAGATGCTCTTCATGACGCGCTGGCCAAGTCTCTGATCCGTATAGTAGCACTGACTGGCTTCACATTGGAGTTGAGAATCCGGATCTTATTTTTGATGCAGTGTGCTGTTGTTCTCCACACAGACTTAAGAGTAATGAAAGGTTGTCTTGCTTTTCCGATTCTGGCTTTGATATCCTCGTCAGTTCCGTCAGCCTGAAGTTGAAACGATGCTTACCATGTAGGTGGGTGGGTAGGTGAAGGAGGTTGTTTCTTTCAGGTTCCTCCCATTTATGCAGGCTGACTGTCGTCTGTTGTTGTTGTTTCTCTTGGTGTTGGGCAGGAATCCTCATCACCTACATCTGTTTTCTCTATGTTCACTTGAAGTCCTATCCTGTCTGGATGCTTCTTGTGCCAGCTTGTTGCTTTCCACTTGCATATCTTCCAGTTTGTGGGAAATCAGACATATATGCCACATCGGCGAAGTCTAGATCCTCCAAGTTCTATTATTGTGTGAGTCCATTTTATGCCTGTTTCCTCACTGGCCGCTAGCTGTCTTTCGCATTATCCAGTCTACTGCAATCAGGAAGATCTTTGGCGATAATAGACAATACATGTAATAATACGTGTAGTGTCTTTTATATTTTCCATTCAATTAATACTCATATTCAGTGCGCTAATTTTATCCACAGAGAGAGGAAAAACTACACCGACTATTATTAAGGTAAAATACGCTTTGTGAACTTTGGAGACCGAAAAATGAAGACTGATCGGCTGAACGGGCTGACGAATACACATGAAAAACACTGGCAGTTTGTTTTTGTTAATTAATTGTGCTCTTATACTTCAATGGTGTGCGTCGGTGGCATAGCGGTTAGGACGCTCGCCGACCATGCACATGGTCCAGAGTTCGATCCCCGGCCACCGACGAGGCACTCCTTTACCCCTCGCCAAGCCAGAAATAATGCTGGTAAAGAGGAAAGGTTAGGCATGAGGCTGTCTAGCAACCCCATCCTGTAAAAATAATCACCACTTCTACAAAAACTTCAAGTCACTAGCTGCTGGAAGCCCTATGTTCCACTGAGGAACGTGAAGGAAATAAAAAATACTTCAATGGTTATTAAAACGCGATGATGATAAGTTTTGACGATTTTGTTAATGCTTCGAGCAAAAATACCCCCTATGGTTTTTTTTCCTTTACGTTCCCAGTGGGACATAGGGCCTCAAGCTAGTGGCTTGAAATTTCCGTAGCAGTGGTGTTTAATTTTTACAGGATGGGGTTGCTAGCCTCATGCCCAACATTTCTTCTTTACCAGCACATTATTTCTGGCTTAACGAGGTAAAGGAGTGAGTCGGCCGGTGATCGAACCCCGGACCATGTGCATGTTCGGCGAGCGTCCTAACCGCTATGCCACCGACGCCTGCCTATGGGTGAGTCACCTTTTAGACACCTTGTGTTGTCGCATCACTTTTACTCCAAATATTAACAAAATCAAAACAAAAAAACTTATCACTTTTGTAAACAACCATTGAAATACACAATCATGACTAATTTGTCTATTGCACAATGGATAAACTTATCACAGACACCATCATTTATTTTTGTTACTTTCTGAATTATAAAGAAAATAATGGCGTTCCACTAGTTCAGCACTTTGAATAATTCTCATGTATTCTTGTTGTCTAACCTGTCGGTCATTAATAATACATAAAATAAAGATATCAGCAGTGTACGGCTTTAGTGATTTATTCTCAAAAAATAACGAAGTCATCTATGCTGAGGTCTTCCTTTGAAATTGACTAACAGACTTATTAGTATAGGTGTGTCGTCGTAGGGGTAGTAGACTTTTGCAGAATCCCGGATGAACAGGTGTTGGTTCATACTCTGTTACACGTGTTTTCTCTCTCACACACACACTCTCTCGATAAACAAAGCTTCCCTTATCAATCCTGCTGTCTCCACCCTGTGTCATCCTATCCCATCCATCCTATCGTATGATTGTGGGCATGTAGTTGCATGCAGTGAGTGTTATCTACGACTGAACTATTCTCTAGATTTCTTACCTTATTCGGGTCAACCAATCTAGATTTCGCTGCTAGGTGTTTATGCTTGACTAGTCTGTCTCACTGACCGACCCTGTTCTACTAGTTTGACCCATCTATGTATTTGACCTGACAATCATTGCAGTCAGTCAGGCAGGGTATTAGATAAACTAAATTGTTTTGTTTTAATAAAGGCTCCACTGTCAGGATTGATCCTTTAACCGATAAAGCTTGTTTCTAATTGAGTTTGTGGCTGGGTGGTTTGAATGCCAGCAACCACTTTTATTCCTGCCAGCATTGTTAAGAATTCTGCGTAAGGTAAGGTTATCGATGTTCCTTACGTGTATGTAAGTACTAGTAATAATTTATATTCCCTATTGTTGGTGTTGTCATTACTCTGTGCATTTTTACCATGCATGTCATTATTATTATTACCCCTATCAGTATTATTACTATTATTATTAATTTTATTTTTATATTTTCCTACATGCTTCCGGATTAATATATCAGGGTAATTGAGAAGTTTCAAAGCTTCTCCAAGACAGAAAGTAAGGCATAAAATTGATTAAATATAATTGATGTGATTATGAACGATAAACAGTGTTCGAGGCGTCATCCAGTAAATAATACTGTTTCACTCACAGTGTGTGATATATCTAATAAACAATCTAATATGGAAATAGTATAATTATTTTACATTGATAAATAAGGGATTAATGAAAACAAAACACGTAGATCAGCGAAGAGTCTCTTTTCGGCGAATTCATTTGCTTAGATTTACGATCGCAAATATATATATATATATATATATATATATATATATAAGTTATTTTGTATGTATGTATGTATGTATGTATGTATGTATGTATGTATGTATGTATGTATGTATGTACGCATTAAGTTTATCAAGCAAAATTACTATTGGTTATGGTTATTTTAACTAAGCAGGTGGAAACCGGTAAGTTTTGGGTAGACTTATGTATTACAGAAACGGTCAAGAAAATTGGTTGTTAATGAAACTAGTGTAGTAACAAAGGTAGGTGATGAGATGTCACAAACGGTTGATGAAAAGGAATTACCTAACAGTGTTTCTGACATTTTTAACTCATATATATATATATATATATTTGCGATTGTGCAGCTAAGAAAATGAACTTGCCGAAAAAGGACTCTTCGCTGAACTATGTGTGTTTTATTTTCATTAATGCTTGGATAGGGATTATTCATGAAATAAGCGATTGCAGTTCAGTTGAGGGCCTTGACTGTCCTAATAACTAACAGAACAGCACTTACTCAACTGGAATTATTAACTAGGTGTAGCTGTTACCATCTAATCTAAAAATTCTCGCCAGTATCATTTTATAGCCTTCGTTAAATTTACGTGAACTATATATTTACTTTTAGTGGCCTACTTTCAACATTAGTGCATTTGTGGGACGGTGGTAGGATGCTCGCAAACTATGCATGTTGTCTGTGGTTCAATCCCTGGCCACCGACGAGGCACTCCTATACTTCACAAAGCCAGTGATAAGACTGGTAAAGATGAAAATTGGGCATGAGGCAACCCCATCCCGTAGAAAATAAACACTACTGCTGCCGAAACTCCAAAGCTCTTGCTTGAAGCTCTGCGTTCCACTAGTTACACAAGAGAATCACATTCAACATCATGATTTTCATACTTTTTCAGAAGAAATCAATAAGAAGAAGGTTGCAAATATAAACAGGGATTTTAAAAACTTTTAGGACTTTGAGTAGATACGGACAGACAGCATATAAGAACTACTGAAGTTTCAGATATGTGACGACAACAAATTATTGTTTGTTTTTCGAAACATATTCAGTAACATCATTTGCAGACACTGTGAACACTAGTTTACAGTTGCTAAAGTGATTTTCAAAGTCATTTTTTAGTGACGCATATTGCTTACATTCTATAAAATGTGATTAAAAAGCAGTTTCGCCTTTCACTATTCTCAGTACCTTTCTCATTTAATCACCCTTCTCAATAAGATTTTCTAATGCAAACAGTTTCCAAAGACTCAGAGAGGATAATAGTGTCTTCAAGTACTGAATTTGATGGGCAGTAAACGCTGGTTATAATGAATTTAGGTTATTTTCAATAGTTGGTTTGTAAGGATTATATCTGGTTTTTCGAGTTTGACCACCGGTTGATATCAGTTAGAGAACCATCGAAAACCAACAGGGTGTACTGGATAGCTGTCTAATCCTAGTTTGATAATCATCGGCAGTACACACCCAGTCACGTTCGAACCCACGACCTTCCGGTTACAAGGCAAGCTCGCATACTATTCAGCCACTGGAACCCGATTCGACGGCCCACGAATTCCAACTTCTACTAATTCGTGATTTAGGGCGACTACCGACCAGTGTCGTGGTTGGGAAATCCATCTTCACACTCGACTGGATGGACCTCTAGTGCGAAGTTGTGACCCTGCAAACGGTAGGTCCTGGATTCGAACCCCTTTGGTGGGTGCCTACTGCCAATTCTTCCCTATTTAGGTTATGTTTAGAAAATCTAGTAAAGTTTATGCTTTGCCATTCACCGTATTTGTATCATTCCTGGTATTTCAAAAACAAACAGACTGAGAGAGCTCAATTACAAGAGACTGTGAATCGTCTTGAAGGTGAATTAGCTGCTCGATCTGATGCATTACGTAGAGCAGCAATAGATGCAACGCGTATACAAATGGAGCATGAATTAGAATTGAAAAATAGAACAAATGATTTAAATGAGTCACTGTATCATATGGAAAACAAATGGAAAGAAGCATGCAAAACTATTGAGAGATTAGAGAAGGAGTACAAAGATCAAGAATTCAAACTTACAGAAGTTTCAACAAACGTAAGTTGAACATTGAGATATAAGTATAAAACTTGGGCACTGGGGTGCAGTATAACTCCATTATGGATAAGATTTTATTTTGCTAAGTCACACAGTGTTACAGACGTCATCAGTTAATATTACTGTGTAACACCGTGTGACCTATCAAAATAAAAATATTATCCATAATGGAGTAAGTTGCACATATTTCTGCATCAAATAAACGCCTTTTCTAAAGGATTTTGTGACGGCTAAAGTTTAAAGCTAAAATGGCGGCCAGTCATGCGGGTGGTCAAGGTTCAATCCTCGATCGACGCACTCCTAAACCTCGAGTAGTTTGCTTGTCGGCAGTATTCCTGGAAATGTGACATGAAAGTTGGATATGAGGATTGCAACGCCTCGCCAGAAAAAAACAACTCTACAGTCAGATAAACCTAATAGCTTTAAACACTATTTTTCTCTAGGAACCGGAAGGAAAAGCAGGAAGTTTAAAGGGCATCTAAGTCCCTAAGTCATTGACTATATGTGTACTATTAAATTGGTTAGGAATTTAAACCAATACGACCTATTTCTGTGTGACACTGAGGGTCGACTCTATCTATCTGTGCATTTCCACAATTAATCTTGGCATGGTGTTGTTATTGTCAAACCTTCTGAAATTATTAGACATAATATGTGTGAAACTAGTTACAGTGATAGAAATGTTCAAAAATAAAAAAGATGAACTAAGTAACCATTTACGAAACCACAAGTAGACTACAAAGAGGTAATGACTATCTATGTTATAATACATATGTACGTTTGACTGACTGACTGGTTTCAACATAGAACTTTGCACCGATGTGCAGCAGTTCGAGTCGCCACACTTCACTTAGGACACACAAAGCAAGAGAAGAAAGTAAAAACAGATTTCGAACCATATTAATAATTGTCTCCAGACATCGGTGTTTACCGTCCCGAGGACACCAACCACGAGGTCTACATCTTCCTACATGCATGGCTTAAACTAACTGTTGTGAATCTCACTGACTGACGGAGCCATGTTGTAGCTTGACCACCACGTGCTAGCGCTTTTCCAACCTCATCGATCCCATATCAGCTAACATTGAGCGTAGTCTAGGAAGTCAATGGGTGGCTAGGAATGCATCCGTAACACGTGTTCTAGCCACCTTAATCAGTGTAATTTCACAACCTCGTCTGTTGTTGATTTCCCCTCCTCACCTAGCACTCCACTGATGCCTAACCTCAATATTACTCATTCTATTACCGCTATCAACTAACACGGGAGAGAGAACTCAGACACCTATGATCAAAGACAGCTAGCTAGGCTTTTCATGTCTTCCACTCTGAATGGTCACTAGTGACTCACAGTCAACCATAAAGGAGGACAGAGCGAACTTCTTCTGAGCAGTACACACGTCTCTTGGTCGACAGCTAGCCAGCCATTCAGCCAGCCGGACATCACGTCTACTAAGCCATAGGCGGCGTAAACTGGCATATGCGATACTAGCCTTCTGTATCTGTGCTGAGATTTCGTCAGCGATCTACCTGTTGACTCTAGCTGATGCAACTCCTCATATAAGTGAAGCGGTCGACACGCTCTACCTCTTCACTTTCGATTTCAAAGCTAGCAGTCTATGTAGTGCAGCCCTGTAGCGCCATCTTACATTTGACAGGACGAACGAATCTCATGCCAAACATTCGATGATTGCTGCTCTTCAAGGTGTTCAGAAGACTCTGCCTTTTTGTCAGCGTTTCCCCCACAAAGCGGGGAGGACTATATCATCTGCATATTCCAAGTATGGCATGCGATTCGCCCCTACAAAATGTAAGATGCTGCTACAGGACTGGACTACGTCAACTCCTAGCTTAGTGATAGGGAGTGAAGTGATAGAACATGTTGACCACTTCACCTATTTGGGAAGTTGTATCAGCACCAACCGACTGATTGACCACGAAATCTCAGCACGGATCCAAAAAGCTCGAGCTGCTTTCGCTAACTTACACCATCTCTGGCGTAGGCGTGACATCCGGTTATCAACCAAGGGACGTGTGTACTGCTCAGCAGTTCGCTCCGTCCTTCTCTATGGCTCTGAAACATGGCCAATACGAGTTGAAGACATGAAAAGGTTGACTGTTTTCGATCATAGATGTCTGCGATCTCTTTCTCACGTTAGGTGGTATAATAAGGTAAGTAATGTTGACGTTAGGCGTAGAGTGTTGGGGAAAGAGGGAAAATCAATCGACGAGGCTTTAAAGTTACATAGATTGAGACGGCTAGGTCACGTGGTGTGCATGCCTAACCATCGCCTCCCCCGACGGGCATTACTAGCTGACATAGGTGCAGGTTGGAAAAGGGTAAGTGGTGGCCAAACAAAAACATGCCATCAATCCATGAAATAAATCCTTGACAGTTAAACTGAGTCAGGTAGGGAGATGCAGACTTCCGGGTTGGGGCCCTCAGGACTCTAGGAATCAATGGCTGGAGACAATAGGTGACATGGCTCAAAATCGTTGTCAATGGCCAGCGCACATGTATTCAGTGTCTGTAATCTTTCATATTCCTTTCTACCATTATTCATTCTGTTTCACTTTTATACTTGTCATACTCTATTGATTCTCTTCACTCATCTTCTTGTCTACCTTTGTGTGCTATTTGGAACGTGTCAAGTCGAACTGGTGCACTTCGGTGCCAAGTTCTATGTTAAATTCAGACAGACAGACAGATATTGCAAGTCAACAAGATTATCACCTGGTGGTAATAAGTCAATCCTTGAGTAGCTGAAGACGGTTAGGATTAATTACACGCTTAAAATTTCATTTTTTAAAATCAAAAGTAGCGTTTGGAATCAATCTGTTAATTATTAAAGGTGTATGTGCTGTGCTATCCTTTATACAAATGAGTAATATGAATACTGGGCTATATTAATTTCAAAATTTTCGATCACTAACTACTTTCAGAGAAATGATGAAAACAAATCATTGAAACAGAAGCTTGATTCAGTTGAATCGAAAAACAGAACATTGTGCAATGAATTAGAAACTGTGAAATTATCAAGAGAGAATTTACAAAATGAGTATAACCGACTTCAAGAGGAATTGGACAAGCTGAAGTAAATAAAAATATCTTCGTTAAACTCTGTGCAATTTATTTACAGAGTGTTAATACTAACTTATAAACTTAATGTGTTGACAGTCCTAGACACAATCGTGAATTGGCAGAAGTTAGAATTCAAGGACCATTGGATCGGGTCCCAGTGGCTTAATGGTATACGAGCTCGCCTTGTAACCGGAAGGTCCTGCGTTTAAATCCCAGTGGGTGAGTACTGCTGAAGAGTCTCCAACCAGGACGAGACAGCTGTCCAGTACTCCCAGGTTTTCCAATGGTTCTCTAACTAATGTTAGCTTATGATGAAATCCCGAAACTAACGAAGTTTGCTTGTATATCAAGAAACATTTGGACAAACACAAAAATAAAACTAATTTCACTTAAGAACTGGTAAATTCAGCCTTCACAATCTCATTGACACCTTAAAGTCATTGGATAACTCAGAAACAGTGTAGCTAAAGACCTTTTGCTGTAACTAACAACTAACTGTCATCAGGGAGTATCCAATGTTATGAGTCAATTGTGACGTCTCTGACTTCAGCAACGGGGTTATGCGGGTTTGAATCGCAGAGAGCATTTTTTTGAAAGCGCACAAAACTGGTTTTTCTACCGGTGGAAGAATAAAATTGCTGCAAAATTTCTAGAAAAATGTGTTTTTCTACCAATTCACTCATCTCAGATTGCAACCCATATTTGTTGTCGTCATTACAGAGGATTACTGGAACCCAAGAGTTACTGGATAACTAGTCGTTTGATTCTGCAGGTTTTTTGTTCATGCTGTCGGATCTGTTCTTAAGTCATCACCTTCTACGAGGGATGCTACTAGTCTAGATAGTTATTACGATTCTGGGATAACGAAGCTTATTCCTGAGAGTACAGAGAAAAGAAGTGAAAGCTGTGTAAGAAAGACGACAGTCTAGGCTTATCTCAGTGCATTCACACACACACACACACTCTAAAATATATGTTGAGGATAAGTATATTATGCGATGAGTGTGTCTTACAGTGCGTTACAGCAAAGTTTGATTTTTAACAGAATTACGTCACCATTAAATTAGGTGTATCGACATATAAACACATCTGGTCGAAACATTAAATGACAAGAGGTTGTGTGCTTCCATCAAAGAATAATTTTATTTGATACACAAAACACATAGTGATAAAGTGTCTTACTGATGATGTTTCCAGCTCAGTTTATTACTCCAAATCACATAAGCATACTCATAGAACTTTCAGATTTTTAAAAATATATATATAATCCACAGTTTCCTATGATTTGATTTTCTTGTTAATAATGTCCTACATATCTTTATTGTGGATACTGCATTTCATTTCTGATGCAGATGCGGTGTGAACAAAGATTCAGTGACCAGCTCCTCAAACTAATTAACTCTATTACCTATTGGAACTTTAGATATGTAACAAACTATTGTGCGACTGTGTGTGCACCTTGTAATTAATGAGGTTTTGGTAGGTAGGTTGGTTATCTTTTCAAGGTCAATCATTCCTATGATTCCGATGACCTGACTAACCCTTACCTGTTGGACTGATCTACGTAGTCGATGTCATAGACACTTTTATAGAAAAGTTATTTTTATCTAATCAAATCGATAGAGTCTTTTAACCTATAAAGCACCTTGTCTCTAAGTAGGCATGTTGGTTACAATGCCAGTCATGCGTTGGATTTCCGACATCCCTTCCTTATGTGGCAACAGTGTGGATATCTTCAGTTACTTCTTGTGCGTTGGCGGTAAAGCGGTAGAATGCTCGCCGACTACGCGCATGTGGTCCGGGGTTCGATCCCTGGCCAACGCATTTCTTTAACTCTCTAAACCAGTAATAAGATTGGTTAAGGAGGCAAGGGGTTTGTTTGCCACCTTGGTCATTTTCTAAATCATGTAAAATTTTGATTTTTACTAGTTTGTAACTCTGAAATTTCTCTTTCTGCATATACTAAAAGGATACAAATTGATTCCACTGCAAAGAAAGTTTCAACTGGGGTTCAAGCTGTTCAGAAATGCTCAAACGCAAGTACAAATACAGAGAAAATGGAATATAAAGAAAGAATACCATTGCCAAGGCTTCAGCTGACAAGGTTTGTAATCTTTGCGACAGATTGTAAATATGATTCATCTGTTACCTAGAAAATATGCTATCTGTACAACACTGTCTTCAAGTTAAATATCAAGGCGACTAAGTCTCAAACGATTGATTGGTGAACAAAGAATATTCTTTTCGATAACTTCATCATCAGGTTATTTTTTTTCTTCATGTTCCCCACTGGAACATAGGGATCCAAGCTAGTGACTTGAAGTTTCTTTAGCGGTGTTTTTATTTTTACAGGATGGGGTTGCTAGCCTCATGCCCAACATTTCCTCTTTACCAGCATTATTTCTGGCTTAGCGAGGTAAAGGAGTTCGTCGGCCGGTGATCGAACCCTGGACCATGTCCATGGTCGGCGAGCGTCCTAACCGCTATGTCACCGACCCATCATCAGTTTATACAGTTGTATTAATAATAATAATAATTTTATCAGTCATAAGGATGAAAAAGTGAAGCAATCTGTGATAACAAGAACAACGACAAACAGCATGATTAAACAAACAAGTTTGAGGTAGACGAAGTAGTCGATAAAGGCCAAGAAAAAACAAATGAACCGATTAAGTAATGCTAGACTGAGATTGTAAGGGAAGTTAATGAAACACGTGTATAATGAAAATGTGATAAGATTAATGAATGATAAGAGAGGGGTTGAAAATATAAGAAAGGGGTGGTGTAGAAATCATCATTTGGTTATTTCTTAATAGGCCAAGGGAGGTATAATGACAGAATGATTGTTATTGACAACACCAGTGGTTTTTTTAAAAAGAGTAACATCGAATCATTTAGATCAGCCCATCTGTTATGGCCCTCCATCCTGTACATATGAATTTCCCTACCCCTTGTCATTACAGTTTCATTAACTAACCTTTTGTTCTCTTACTTAAACGTAATTGTTAACTTACACACATACGAAACGCACATAAATTTGAACCCCCAAAAAACCCCTTTTATCTCTCCCTGTCCTTGACATGATCACTCATCCATCTGTGGTAGTTATAATCAATATGAATGGCAGTTGATATGAACATAACTCATGAGACTTTATTCCTGTACATTAGTTGTCATTCATAATCATTTACTTTGTAATATTAACGTTCAATTTAGTATTACAACTTTACATATTCCATAATACCTGATGATGAAGCTGTCCAATCTTTTGAAATTTCCAATGACCATCTTTAATCGATGCAAATAATTAAATAGGACGGTTGCAGTGAAGAAAATTTTTTTTTCAGCAAAGTCCAATAAGTCGTAATAGGTCTATCTAAAACGTATAAAAAGTGTATTCTTTTCTATTATAGACAGGAAAAAACTATATGGTTTACTTAGAATATTTTAGCCAAAAATGAGAGACAGTTTTGTGCATTAAAGTCTACAGAAATATTTCCGAATCTTCAATATTTTGTTTAATTGTATACAAGCACTAGGTGTTACAACATGTCATAAATTAGTTGCAAGGAAGTTCTGAATCACCAACGTTATTTATTTGTTATCACCATTCAATAGGTCATATTACCACCGCTGTCAACTTTGCTTACCTCAAGGACTGAATAAGTGTCAAAAGAAGGAGAATTCTGTCTCAAATCTAGATATCCTATCAAACATTAAGTTATTACTGACCTCTTCAGAGGACTTGTAATTTCAGCACACTTTTCAACATCAATATAAGGTCCTCGTCTAACTTAAACCTGTTCTCCCAGGTTATATATCCCTTTAGTTGTTCTTGAATCAATGGTAAGCAAAAATAGGACAAATGACAAATGAACACCTAACCATCCATACTGCTTTTAGCTAATACACTAACCTACTATTCATCGTCTTATGTTGACACCCGAAAGTTCAAGAATGAGAATGTATCAGCTTCTAATTGCTATTCTTTAAATGGTGTTATATAGTCAGGTTGTAACGACAGAATACAAGGGCCAGGCAACAGATTGTTTATTGAGACAATCAAGGTGTATTTATAGATATTTATGTACATTACTGTCAGTGAAGAAGCTGCGTCTTCTGATTGGTTGTTTTCTTGCCGAAGGTTATTCTCTACTGCCTGTGACCATTTCTCAGAAAGTTAAGTCATATATCCCGAATCGTATTTGCACACATTGAGTCTGCTAAGATTGGTTGGTGTGTTTCTCGAAGTTAAGCTTTGTTATTGTTTTTCTCATGAGCCTGATTTGGGACGTAACATTGACGTAAATTGCTGTCTACAATTTTGGCTTGTTTGCAGCCAGCTCTCGTCACAAGGTAAGCAGGGTATCTGTAAGTATAGTGTGTGCCTTGTGCCGTCTAAGTGCAAAGTACTGTTACAAGATTGGTAAGAGCCTGTACTTGAACTCACTCTTGCCGGTCAACCCCTTGAAGTTATTGATAAGTTTTTGTATCTGAATAGCTGTTTGTGCTGGCGGAGGGATGACGGATGTGATTTCCAACCGTATCATGAAATCAAGGGTGGCATACGTCAACTTGAGCCACCTCTGGCGTCATCGCGACATTAGCTTGTCTGTAAGAGGTCGATTGCACAATGCTTCGGTGCGGGTTGTCTTGCTCTACGCCTCTGAAACCTGACTTACCCAGCTGAAAATGTGTGGCGTGAGATGAAGGGTATTTGTGCTAGGTTATCATCAGTTGGTGCGTCACAACTCCCAGTTGGAGTCCGACAGATAGCTCCAATCGGTGACTCGGAACGCTATTAGATATGGCCAAGAATCGTAGTGAAGGGCGAACGTGCTGCAATTTCCTTCTTTCTTCCCTCTCGGACGATAATTGACCGATGTTGTTTGCAGTTGTTGAGTATGACTGTTTTCCTTCCAGATGAAGTTCTTTATCCGTTCTCTGCACCTACACTTTTACTTTTAATCTATGTTGTTTTATTATTATTGCGTAGCAAGTCATCTTGGCGCCGTATTTCACCAAAATTTTTCTGCGTTTAAATATCAACAATAGTAAGATTATCTGTCTAATCTTTGTCACTGGTGGATTCCAGGACACACATTTCGGCCGAGTATCACCACTGATACATGAACCTAACACTCATCACTTCATAAACCTTTCAAGGAGATCATATGCCGAAATGAGACGCATCGATTATCCACGAATATTTCGGTCGGACATCGCAAGAATAGAAAAATTATTCTAATTCATATTCGTCTCACAAAAAATGAATTGAGTCACAGTGGAAACACAGACACACACACACACACAAACTCACTGACAATCAGGTTTATCTAGCTCACGAGTCCTAAAATAATAGAGAGTACCGCAGTAATGAACCAGTAGTAGCTTATGATTTTTAGCAGATTTTAAGCCAATAATGACTCACGATCAAAAGAAAACCCCAGCGAAACAATAAATCTACTATGAATAAATTATTTCCTCCCAAAAACTACTAAATACTAACAGTACATATGTTATTTTCTTTTCTTTTTTTTCAGTAGTAGACCGAAATCTTCAGAACAAGTGAAAACGTCTCATTTCTCACCTGGGGATCAGGACGAAGAAAAATTCACCGACTGTGATATTAACAGCCCTGAGAACTCAGCTGATTCAGTTGAGGCTAGAGTGAAAGCGCTTAAACAAGCTAATCAGTATCTAAGATTGGAAGTAGAGAATGCCTGTAAAATGTTAAATTCAAGTGTACTAAATAAAAATAAAGTTGAAGATGAGTATTTGTCTATGCCAAAAATAAAGTATTCCAATACACTTCAATTTGATACTGGAAATAATAATAATAATAAACACAAAGTGAGTCAGTCGTTCATATAAGCTGAATAGATTGCCGTGATAAAATTTTCCATTTAATCATATACTTTAGACATTGACGTTATTCAGAAACCATGTCAACCAGAGTATTAATAACTTTTGTTTGAATTAATCTTCTGAATATTTTATGAAAAAGGATTGATGCTCTAAGGTGTGTTGTTGAGTCATTCAAAAGGCAGGATGAAAAGTGAACTAGTATTTAAACACATATATTCTAATGTACTGAAATAGCCTCGAATTATATCTTGTGCGATTAGTCATAAGAGCGCTACGCCTTAAATTACGCATTTATAAGAAAATATACCTGTAACCGGTGTAAAAGGATTAAATCCGACTCATATAAGTGGTAAATTCATAAAAACCTATTGTCATAGCTATATTCAATAAGCGACCCGATTCTACTACTTTATCTAAGGAGTGCGAATAAAGCATATTGAATGACAGCAAATAAAATAAGAGATTGGGGTATTTCACCATGTAATTGTGGTAATCATAAAGTAGCTGGTGACATTAAAATACTAATGGGAAACATGAACGCCAAACTGGGACCAGACAACACAGGAAGGGAACTCATCATGGGTAGAGAAGCTCTCGGAGAGATGAATGAAAATGGAGAACTCTTCGCCGACTTCTGCGCCTTCAATGAACTAGTGATTGGTGACAGCGTATACAAACACAAAGATATCCACAAGGCTACATCGGTGTCACCAGATGAGCAAACCAAAAACCAAATTGACTTCATCTCAATCTCAAGGAAGTGGAGGCGCAGCCTACTGGACACAAAAGTAAGAAGGGGAGCAGACATTGGCTCAGACCACTATCTCGTACAAGGGACAATCCAAATCAAATTAAAAGCTTTCAGGGAAACAGGAGCTGCAGATAGACCACAAGCCAAGTTCAACACTCAAAAACTGAAGGACCAGGCTACAAAGGACATCTTCATTGCAAACATCAGGGACAAAGCTGAGACACAAATCAACACTAGCGAAGAGATCGGCGTCGAAAAGCACTGAGACAACTTGAAAACGGTGTGGAGTCAAACCTGCATGGAAGTTCTTGGCAGAAAGAAGATGCAGGACAAACAGTGGCTCACTATGGACACTTGGAAACTAATAGAAGAGAGAGAGAGATAGTGAAACAAAAGATTATCCAGTGCACCGACGAGCAACAAAAACAGGAGTTGAATGCAAGCTACAATGCGCTGAACAAAAGAGTGAAGAAGAGCGCCAGGGAAGACAAAAGAAAATATTATGAAGCCATGTCAAGTGAAGCAGAACAAGCTACAGGCAAAGGAGACCTCGCCACACTCTACCAAACAACTAGGCACCTTTCCGGCAAAAGTTCGACACAGATTAAGTCAGTGAAGGATGACAATGGAAAGTCAATCACCAAAGAGGTGGAACAAAGAAAACACTGGGCTGAAAACTTGAAAAGACTTCTAAATCGTCCGCCACCTACAACGCGCCCAACAATACCAACAACGGAAGCAGATCTACCAGTGAACATCGACACCCCCCAACGAATCAGAAGTCCTGAATGTAATCAAGGTGCTAAAAGCTGGAAAAGCAGCAGGACCAGATGGAATCCCAGCAGAACAAAGACAACAGCGGACTTTATGACCCCATTGCTAGAAAAGGTGTGGAAAGAGAGCAAGGTACCTGAGGATTGGAAAAAAGGATACCTATTCAAACTACCAATAGAGGAGACTTAAGTCAATGCAAAAACTGGTGTGGAATTATGCTCCTGTCCATCCCAAGCAAAATACTAAGCCCCATCAACCTGGAGAGAATCAAACAAGCCAACCTGGATGAAAAACTCCGACCGGAACAAGCTGGATTCAGGAGAAACAAGTCATGTATTGACCGGATCGCCACACTACGGATCATCATTGAACAAAGCTTGGAATGGCAGTCACCTCTCTACCTCACTCAACTTCATCGACTTTGAAAAGGCCTTCGACAGCGTCGGTCGAGGGGTCTTTTGAAAAGTACTTCGCTACTACCAAGGGCTCCCATCGACAATTATACATCTCATCCAACAGTTAGTTGTACGACAATGCTGCATGCCTCCAAGTAATCCACAACGGGAAACTTACGGAAGCCTTCGAAGTGAGGACGGGAGTGAGGCAAGCTGGCTGTCTACTATCGCCAATGATCTTCCTGATTGCAGTAGACTGGATAATGCGACAGACAGCTAGCGGCCAATGAGGAAACAGGCATAAAATGGACTCACACAAAAATAGAACTTGGAGGATGTGGACTTCGCCGATGTGGCATATATGTCTGATTTCCCACAAACTGGAAGATATGCAAGTGGAAAGCAACAAGCTGGCACAAGAAGCATCCAGACAGGATAGGACTTCAAGTGAACATAGAGAAAACAGATGTAGGTGATGAGGATTCCTGCCCAACACCAAGAGAAACAACAACAACAGACGACAGTCAGCCTGCATAAATGGGAGGAACCTGAAAGAAACAACCTCCTTCACCTACCCACCCACCTACATGGTAAGCATCGTTTCAACTTCAGGCTGACGGAACTGACGAGGATATCAAAGCCAGAATCGGAAAAGCAAGACAACCTTTCATTACTCTTAAGTCTGTGTGGAGAACAACAGCACACTGCATCAAAAATAAGATCCGGATTTTCAACTCCAATGTGAAGGCAGTCAGTGCTACTCACTATACGGATCAGAGACTTGGCCAGCGCGTCATGAAGAGCATCTCAAACAAACTTCAAACCTTCATTAACAGTTGTCTCCGCTCAATACCACTCAAGATCAGATGGCCGGCCAGAAAATATCACCAACAGGGTGGGATCTCTGGCAATGAGCGAACCAACCATCACAGCAGGAACCGACTGTGAAACAAATAGGCAGGAAGAAATGGAGATGGATTGGCTGGCCATACGCTGAGGAAACCATCAAGTGAGTGACATCACTAGACAAGCCATTGCTCGAGTGGAACCAGGCCGAAAGGGAAGCGGGTGGCGAGTTGGTCGTGAATGCATGGGTGAGGGTGACTTGGAGGAGGTCATGTGAGGAGGAGATGAAAGCATGTGGGCAGACTTGGAGCGGAGTGAAAATGTTGTCAGAAAACAGAAGGCAATGGAGACTTGGGCGGCTGAAGCTTTATGTTCCTCTATGAATTGAAGGATATAATAATAATAAATAATAATAGTACACAAGCCAGTCAAATCGCTTAATTCGATACTTTGCAAACTGAAAGGTCCAACAGAAAATGGGGATAAAATTAATACCATTTACAAAATAAGTTGTATGAACTGTAACAGGCATTACATCAGCCAAAGTGAGCGTTCCCTTTGAATTAGAATCCAAGAACACAAATCAGCCGTGAAAAGAAACGATATATATTCTTTACTATCAATGCATATAGACAATTACGGACATCAATTTGATTGGGATAATGTCGAAATCTTAAACAGAGGAAACAACAAAAGTTCCAGGAAATTCCTAGAAGCCTGGTACTCAAACGAAAATGCAATCAACAAACGCGTTAATATAGACTAAACGTACCAACTAATAAAAAGTAAATCAGGTGACCAGAAAGTTTAAAATCCAAGTCAATAGAAAACTGTCAATGCATATGTAAAGATGGTTACCGGGAGGCGCAAATATATCACTCCTGAAGAAATTTAAATCATTTCACTTTATGCTAAATATTGCGCTGATAGGGAATGCTGTCCAGAAGGACGACGAAAGCTCCGCAACTAAACCAACCAGCTCAGAGAACAGTATTAATTGCAAATCATGAATATGTATTATTATCTTTCCTAATTTTCCGATATTCAGTGTGTATTGTTATCTTGATGCTATTGAACTGTAATCCACTGATATTATGATTGATTCGATGTTATTCAAACGACAACACTAATGTTGTTAATAACACTAATTCATTCATTCACTATTATGCATGGATATATAACTGTAGAACACGATTAAGGGTGGGTTATTGGAAAGAATATTCTTTTTTCACTAACCATTCTCTTGTAATCCGATTAATTCAATTTTGAACAATTTTTGCATTGAAGCGAAATCTCAATCTATTCAGACAATCCAGCGGTATTGTTAAAAAAGGGCAAAAGAAAGCTTCAAATTAACAGGTCTTTTTCAGCTTCAGCTTTCAGTCTATGTTAACAATTAAAACCTATTCAGCGTTAGGGTATATTACTTTTTTTACTGCTAGTGATTAGGCTAGGGACTAACCAGACCCTCTCATATTAGTAACTTGGATCAAAGATGGCTTTGATTTACTATATAACACTTCTTACAGTTTTCGAGCATCTTATCATTTACCACAACGTCGTTTCTCTATGTTTCAGGTAGAATTCTTCGATGAAACTGATGAATACCCTGAGTATGGTGATGAAAGTATAGTTGAACAAGAATCAAAAACGGTTTGGCTTGAAAGAATTGAATCGGTAAGGATTACAATTAGAGTATAACACGTTTCCATGTTCTACTTATTCACCATGTTATGCTTCATCTGTCTGTCTCTCTATTTTCAACATAGAACTTTGCACCGATGTGCAGCAGTTCGGGTCGCCACACTTCACTTAGGACACACAAAGCAAGAGAAGAAAGTAAAAACAGATTTCGAACCATATTAATAATTGTCTCCAGACATCGGTGTTTACCGTCCCGAGGACACCAACCACGAGGTCTACATCTTCCTATATGCATGGCTTAAACTAACTGTTGTGGATTTTACTGACTGAAGGAACCATGTTTTGGCTTGTTAGCTCCTTTCCAAACTCATCGATCTCATATCAGCTAACATTGAGCGTGGTCTAGGAAGGCAATGGATGGCTAGGAATGCATCCGTAACACGTGTCCTAACCATCTCAATCAGTGTAACTTTACAACCTCGTCTATTGTTGATTTCCCCTCCTCACCTAGCACTCCACTGATGCCTAACCTCAATATTACTCATTCTATTACCGCTATCAACTAACACGGGAGAGAGAACTCAGACACCTATGATCAAAGACAGCTAGCTAGGCTTTTCATGTCTTCCACTCTGAATGGTCACTAGTGACTCACAGTCAACCATAAAGGAGGACAGAGCGAACTTCTTCTGAGCAGTACACACGTCTCTTGGTCGACAGCTAGCCAGCCATTCAGCCAGCCGGACATCACGTCTACTAAGCCAGAGGCGATGTAAACTGGTTATGCTACATACAGTATCAAGAACTTTTAAGTGAGTTTATAAAAGAAATTCCCCAATTAAAGCTGTCATCATTTTCCCTAAAGTCCAGAAGTTAATAAATGGAACAGAGCGATTCTAATCTTCCACATGTACTGGAAATTTAATATATCTAATAGATGTATGAAAAAGTCAAGAAAGAACATACTTTTCTTTTATATCAAAAGCCGATAGACATGGAGTTAGTGTTCCTTTCTTGCAACAAAAGCAATAAAGTACGACAATCTAGAATGGTGGCCACAATGCAAACCTGACTGATAGAATTCATTCTGCACCAAAGAAAGGACTAGACACGTCACATCAGTTACTAGTGTCCAATCAAAGTACCGACTACAGTCATACAGGAGGTCAATCGTGAGCCCAAATAGCTCACTGGTGACGTCTCTGACTGCTGGTAGCACTAGATGATGCTGGTTCGAATCTGAGAAGGGATATGAGTTCTTTCAAGATTGCAGATACGCCTAGCTGACGGACTGGTGATTGCCAACTAGCACGAAAACGAGGTCACGTAGGGCATTCTGCCGATTGCCGCCAACCATCTAACACTTACAATATAAATCCAACCTCCTACTGACGCCTAATATATTTTTCTCTGTTATACTTTAAAGAATGCAAATGTGATGATGTATATGATGAAGATCTCTACATGAATCCATAACCAATAATTTTAAGTTTCATACTGATTTCACCGACTGCTTGGATTCACACAGTGCATGAAAAAATTCATAAACTTCTCTTCTGATATTGGGTAAACCATGTTTAGAGAAAGTTACCCGATAATTTTAAGGGTACTGACCATAAAAATGGTAGAAACTAGGAAAATCGCATCATCATCAAAGCGGAAGAGATCAAATATCCAAGTGACCTACAGCAACCACATGCTTACCATCATATAATCCGAAAAGAAACGTGCTGGCTGTTTATTAGCTGACAAATTTGCGTGACAGAGAAGAATTCAGGTGTAAATGACGTGACATTGTTGTAGAAGACACGCGGACTATGCATATGGTCTGAGATTTGATCCCCGGCTGACGTACTCTTTCTTTTACCTCACTAAGCCAGTAATAAGACTGGTAAAGAGGGAAGGTTGGACTTGATGAAGCTAGCAACCTCGTAAAACATAAAACACCGAAAAGCTACCGAAATTTCAGTCCTCTAGCTTGAAGTCTCACGTTTCACTGGGAACTTAAAGAAGTAAAACAGAAATAACTCTAACAAAGTCGAATGAATATACACTCGAAAGGACTTGTTCAGATAGAGGCAAGGTAGGGTGTAATTAGAAAACGTTTGAAAGCGAAGTAAAATAATTCCCGCATTTCTGATCATCTTATCTCCGAAAGGACTACAAATTACTAGCAAAATACTCACTTCTCAATGTTTCTTCAGCAATAGAATAGAATACATTTAAAAGTGTCGAGAAATATAACACCAAAACGACTGGCTTTCAGCTATTCGGGATGTGAAATGTGTGAATTCATCAACCTGGACATATAAGATGCAGTTGAGAATAATAAGCTAGTCGAAGGTCAGTTATCCAGAACAATTTTCATCCGCCAAACTATGAACCACAGCTATACCTAAACATGAAGTCATCGTCTCCATACACTGGAGGTCTGATTCGAAGTAATTGAATGTGGTGTAGATTCAGTAGTGGAGTGACAGGAGGAACATTGAGGAGGCAATACGACAGAATGCAAAGTGGAATTAATTTGAGAAGTAGGTATGGGGGCGCCTTCAGTGTACTGGTCGTTATTGATAGTCGTTGAGGTGTTTGATGGTTGAGTCGTACTAGAGTAACTGATGTTTTCTAATTGAGTGTCACTCCACATAAGTGTGTAGTCGAAAAGACAGTTGCTTGTGTGTGGTTTCACACATGACGTGTTTTGAGTCAGACTTATTTGGGTGAAAAACACACTACCTCCAGCTGTCGGTCAGTTCGCTGACATGAGATTTCGTAGATATCTTGTGTGGAATTTTCCGAATGACTTGATTTCCCTACTTGAACACTGAAATCGACTGATGACATGGCGACATGTGAGTGCTTTACTTTGTGTAGTATGTTGCATAGCCTCTGGTTGGATTCGTGCTCCGCTTGGCCTGAACTGTAGTCAGTGGGAATGTTTACGAAGAATATCTTTGATCAGACACTCGGTAGTAACTAGCGTCATGCGTCTGGTCCTCTGTTCGGTGCCGACAGCATCCTATCAGTCAAGTCTGCAATATGACAACCATGCTAGATGGATCGCCATCAGTTGGCTGAGAGTCCAGTTTAGGTAAACATTGCGCAGGAAACTGTTTACACGTATATTCAGTCCTATTCAAACAAGTATAACTTACACTATTCTAAATTTGTTAGTTTAATGACTCTAAACTGATTAAAACTAGGCTGTTTATTTGAATTTCGTAAATCCCACTAGGCAATTGATTCGGTGCTACTGTCTAAAAAATCTAAAATTGGTCCAAAATGTAGTCGGTCTACCTTATTTTCCTTCTTTCAAACAACGGAAATTTTACTCACATTATTCTGTGTTTCTTGGTTCTCATGAAATCAATAAAAAACGCATTTATGTTTCCTCTGACAAAGTACAATTTTCACTCTTGGTTTCCTTGAAAAATTCCACTTAAAAGTTTTACTCTTCTGTTTAATTTTACTGAAATTTCATCTAGATATCACAAAAATTTCATGATAACAACAACTACTGGTCGAGTAAACTAGAAAATATTGACAGAATGAAAAATTCTGGTCGAGATATTGTACAAAATACAGAGCGTCAAACAAATTCATCTAGAACAGTCAGTGGAAACACCGACAGAAAAATTAAGCCAACACGCCTTCATGATTCTAGCAGTGGAGTCGGTAACAGCAGTGGGCGTGTCAAATTAACAAAGCTGGAACCCATGGATTATCATGGAAAGTTCGGTGATAAATTTGCCAAGCCATCAAGTGCTTCTAAGCTGACTTCAATTCCAGTTAAACAGATGTCAACCTATCGTGCTTCAAGAATAAAATAGTCGAAATTTTACATGTTGTTGTATTCGTTAAGTTCCTTTCAAAGAAAAAGAAAAAATATTTCATAATTTTTGACACCTTTGATGCATTTTCAAAGAATAATTATGGATCACTAATAATAACTACTGTTTATAACTGTTTGTGACTACAGCGTGTAAATGAACTGTGTGACAATTTATTATAAAACCGGTTACGCTGTAGCATTTTCTACCGTGAGTATAAATAAACTCATGAGAACTACATGCAGAAACGTTTATTTCTGTGAGTAGTACAGCTACACTTAAGTCATAAGATAAGAAATCTAGAGAATAGTTCAGCTATTGCACTACACGCAATTACACACAACCATACAATAGGATCATACTCTGAGGAAAGCATCAAGGGAAATCCCTAGACAGGCTCTCAAGTAGATAGAACCCGAACGCGAAGCGGCGAGTTATCCGCCCGAGAGTGACTTGGAGGAAGTCATGTGAAGAGGAGATGAATCATGTGGCCGGATTTGTAGGCAGATGGAAACGTCGGCAGAGGACCGAACGCAGTGGAGAAGTTCGGCTGAGAATTTTTGTTCCTCTAGGAACTAAACGAAACAATACTACTACTAATAATAATACAATAGGATGGATAGGATAAGATGTCAGTTTTGTAATCCAATGTAAAAGAGTGGAGGGAGAGATTGATAACAGAAGCTTTGTTTATCGAATCCACTGCAAACACGTGGAACAGAAATGACTCAGCATTTGTCCCACATATCTGGATAATCCTACTACCCATAGGACAGATAGGAGAGAACGAAGAGAACTATAAAACTCAAGTTTCGAAGTAGTGTGATTATAAGTGGCGAAATGATTATGAAGAGTAATAAATTGTGTTGCAAACTTCGTCATCCAGTAAATAATGCCGTTTCACTCACTGTTCGATATATCTAATAAACAAACTAATATGGAAGTAACCTCTATCAAATATTTCCCTTTGATGGTGATTGATGCTATTTTTGCTGCTATTGGTTGATTATCTTCATCACTTCCGGCTTCTTGATGTTCAACTACAGCCCTGTCTTCACTGAAAGCCTCTTCTGCCAGTTCTTCGGCTTTCGCCTGTAAGTCATGAGACATATATCATTTGCGAAATTCTGAATTTATAGAGTCTTCTTATTGGTGGTAGAGCGTATTCCTGTCCCTCGCTCCCCATGCACAGCGTTCCGCACAATCCAGTTCAACACAAAGAGGAACATAATCGATCATAATAAGCACCTTTGTCTTCCTCGCGTATTCACTGCAAACGACTCACTGAGCTTTCAGTTGTGGACCACTTGACATATGCCATTCTCATATAATTGTTAGATGAGGTTGATGAAGATTTGGGGCACCCCCTATTGTTGAATTAGTTTTCAATTTACTTCGCAGTCAACTCTGTTACAGGTCTTTCTAAAGTTGATGAAAGTGAAGTAGATGTTTGACTGCCATTCTATGCTTTGCTCGATGATGATGTGTAGAGTCGCAATTCGATCTGTATATGATTTGCTCTTCCCGAAACCAGCTTGTTGTGGTCAGGGTTCTGTTTCCGGTACGTCTTTTACTCTCTCGGAATTATTTTATTCATCTTTTTTTCAAATTTTATTCCTTTGCATTCCATGTGGGACATATCGCTTCAAGTCTGAGCAAGCCTCACATTCAACCTTCTCTCCTTTTCGGACTTACAAGTGGCTAAGGGAAGTGAAGGTTCCCGCCGGCCGGAAACTGAACACATGAATACGTAAATGGTTGGGGAGCCTCCTACCGCTGAACCACAGGCACGTACGGATGACATTATACACAGTATTAATATTATCACTGCTGTCAAGGAAGTGCTATAGAGAAATCTGATATGTTTACTTACTAAGCTGCTTGACTACCCCCTGTCCTGTGAAAATACTGTCCGAAGCGGCTGAAAGGGGCATTGTTGTTGTGAAGGTTGTAGTCGATATGAGTATTCGGTAATTTGTTTTCAGTGTAAGAATGAAGTGTTGGCATCTGTTTCGCGCAGTCATCAGAACATAGCAAGTTTTGTACAGACATAGGCACATGCTCCCTACTAGATGATACAAACGATGTAAGAGTTTGTCCTTTTGTCTTATTTGGCTCTCTGAATGTAGTCTCTGGCCGATGTTTGGGGGATTTTCTGTAGCTTTTAGTTGATAAAACATTAGAAAGGGGCTGACTAACAAGGGGTTTACCCAGTGGATGAGCAGAATAATACCTACTACCTTGCTGTACTGTTTGTCTAGAATTAGTGGTTGGATATAATTGGCCTTCCACTGGACACCAATTAAGCCTACCTCTAGGAGCTCGGCCTAGCATATTTAACTTTCTCTTAGAAAAATGGCTTAGAGGTGCTTTCGTCTCTGTCATATCAAAGGGCTTTCTTGCTCTGGCTTTAGTATTCAATTTATTTACTTCTTTTCCTCCTTTTTTATGATCAACTGGTTGATGATGGCTAACAGGGCACACAGCACATGCTATGTAGGGTTTCTGTGGCTTGGACACCTCATGCGCCTTAGTTTTCTTAATGGAAATGGGAAGTTTGTCATAACGCCTAGAAAACTTGCTAACTTGGGTAGCTACATTCGACTGGTACTTCACAGTGGACGGATTGTCAGATTGAGGATTAACTGATTTATAAGGGGATGGGTGGAACACCAGTTTCATGAGTTTTGATGTTTTCTGGCTCTTGACGCTTGTGTCAGTATTCAAGCTATGTATTTCAACATCATGTTCTGTGGGCTCATCTATACCCAACATTTCAGTGTCGTTATAAAATACTTGGCTAATATTTGTCTGCGCCTGCGAAAATGTCTGATGCATGCGGTCACCAGGTATTTCACTAGACGGAATAACGCATGGAACATCATCTACGGTTGCCTCATTGGAGTTATTAGCATTCAGTGTTCCTGAGCGGAATCGTCTTTGCTATGATGTTAAATCAGGTGCATTCCTAATGTTAGTATAGGGTGTTTAAGAGCTCATTATCTTACTAGATTTCAGAAATATCCTGGATTCTTCAATAGGCCTGAACTTGAAAAGCACCGGACATGAGTGGTTTGCAGATTTCCTACGAAGACGCGAAACCTGACATTCTGTCAGCGACATATTACTAGCCTTTAGACATGAAGTTCTAAGTTTAGCAATAGGCTCTCTGTCTGAAACGTTACAGGCCAAGACGTTGTGTGAAGACGTAATCTTCTTAATAGCTTCTTCAGCCAAATAGTCAATTATACGCCCAGATTTGTTGATTGGTTGTAGACAGATGTTTCGTGATCGGTCACACAGTTGCTTGAGGGTCATAATGCTGTCAAACTTGTTCTGTATGTCTGCTACTGACTTCTGAATTGTCAGTAAATCATTTTTGCTACAAGCCGCATTCTCCGTCAGTTCCCCCATGACATCAGATACCATAACTCTAAGTGTTTCTGGTGTAAGTAGTGTGGAATCGTCAACGGAGCTGAGGCCTTCAGATGGTCGACGAGAATTAGACCTCAGTCTCTTAACGGTACTTAACAGTTTGGTAGACTTAACCATTGCAGAAACAAGAATTTTCACAATTTCCGGATATAAGTCTTGAGGATATAAAAAATATAGGTGTATTATCGAAGTATCTGTATCCACGTAAAGGTAAACGCAGATGAAACCAATAAAAGATGGTCAAGGAAGCCTGATTACCACATAGGAGGGATAAATAAAATAGTAAGCAGATCATTAAGAGGACTCCGGATCTGAACATCACTTCCAAATCGTCCAGAAGTACCACCAACAGCAGGAACAGAATTGCCAGTGTACACCAATCCTCCAACAAAAGCAGAAGTTTAGGATGAAATCAGGCTACTGAAGTCCGTAAAGACAGCAAGATAACATGGAATTCGTGCTGAAGCAGTGAAAACAAACGAAGAGTCTGCAGGGGATATCTTCACGCCACTATTGCAGGATAATTTGAAGGAAAGCAAAGCGCCTACTGACTGGAAGGAAGGCCACCTTGAGAAACCTCCAAAAAGTGATGACTTGGGCATATGTAGGCGTTGGCGCAGAATCATGCTTTGTGCACGTTAAGAAATACATCGTCTCACATCATCCTGGGCTGGCCAGAAGACGCACTAGATATGGAACTTCAATCTGAACAAGCTAAATTCAGGAAGAGCAAATCATTTGCTGATCAAATTTCAACTCTAATCACCATCGAACAGGGCATAAAAGGGAAGTCAAACCTCTACCTCAACAACTTATTGACTTCGGGAAAGCCTTCGACAGGGTTGACTGAGAAGTAATTTGGAAACTACTTCAACATTATGGCGTGCAGCACTCCAGATGTGTCCCAACTCCATTCAACAGCTATATGACAATGCCACATGTCAGGTAATCCACGAGAGAGAACTCAGCGAAGCCTCCGACATCAAAGTGGGAGTGAGACAAGGCTTCTTGCAATCACCAATGATATATTAGAGGCTGAGGATGTTGACGTTAACGGATAGTACGAAGTATACTAACGCAAGATCTAACACCCACAACTTCTGTAGAATTCGTCCTAAAGGCAAAGCAAAACATCAGAATTGATCTTCCAAAATGTGAACTATATTTCGGGACGAGATTGGGGTGCTAAATGATTGCTTAACCAGCCAGGGGTTGTGCACGAACGAACGTGACACGATGACGTTGCAAATAGCGTGGATGCTTGACCGGAAGTCTCCAGCTAAATAGGTCCATTAAAAGACCGAGGGTCAGCATCCAATGTTCAGTGATGAATGCTCTGGCCAATAACTCTGGGGAATTATCTACTGCTAGTATATTCTTAATTCTAATAGACTGGCTTGTGTGCCAAACTATGATGAGTGAGAACGCAAGAATACGCTAGACCGAAAAGAAAACTACTGACCTGAATTCTTTGGATGATTTATATCCAATGCTAAACAAGCTCGAAAACTTGCAGACGAAAGCCAACAAGTATGCAGGAGAAGAAGCCAGCAAAGACAGGACTTCAAGTGAACACAGAGGAAACAGATGAGGCGGTGAGACTCACTGTCAGCTGCCTACGTAGCAATGTGAGGTTGACCTACTACTTAAAATAATCATTCTCACTGAAACGTCGCTAACCCCCCACTATCACCGACAACGAAATCAGTATAGGTGACGTGGTTCTGGTCAGGAGAGACAAGGATAATGAGGAAGGAGGGGGAGTTGATGTATACTTTGACAGGCAACTTAAATGTGTGCGCGTAACGGACCCACCACTTATTAAACTCCCAGATTTCCTTTGGAATCACTTCACCGTAGGCCACATCAAACACTTACTGAGTGGCATCTACCGATCTCCCACCTGTGGGGCAGAGCACAAACAGCTACTGCTCAGCACTATCACAGGGATACGGGACTTTGGCAATGACCGAATCACCATAGCTGGAGATTTCAATGACCCATCATTGAGCCTAAGCTCGACGTGTGCTAAGGGCGAATTAGGCCAAAATCCACTGCAAACTGTTCGAAATACGGAACTGACTGAGGATGTTGGAGACGACATTAGGTGGGGCCCTAGTGGAAAGTCATCAAAACTAGACTACATTCCAACTGGTGACCAACTACTCGTCGAAAGGGTCCAGATCATGACTCCCCTAGGAAGTAGTGACCATGCAGTCATAGGTTTTGACCTAGTTCTCCGTGAGCGTTTGCTGTGGGAAGTTACGCGAACATGTCTGAGCTATAACAAGACAGACTACGCTGAAATGAGGAGGCTTTTGACCGACGCAGACTGGCCCTTAGCATGGGATCAGCTATCTGTGGATGAACACTGGGAAGTGGTAAAAAAGATTATTCATACAGCAATCTCGGATACCCTCCCTTTAGCCACAACACAGCCCAGAAGAAAGTCATCATAGCTGAAGAGAGGCACGCAACGTATTCCCCAAGCGAAGCGTAAGGCTTGGTTTACGTGGTGCGTATCTAAGAGTCGTACAGACCATGACGCATACCCAGAATTCAGGAACCGGTGCAACGCGAGAGTCAGGAGTGACAAGAGGTCATTCCAGGCTAACTTTGCCAAAAAGCTCCTAGCAAACCCCAAAAACTTGTGTTGATTCGTGTCGGAAAGAAAACCAACAAACCAGAGGGCATGCACCTTAGTAGATCCAAATGGTCAATACCTCGCTAGTCTGGAGATGGCTGAAACATTCAGTTTAGCCTTCGCCAAACAGCTAAACAGCAATGTGTGTATTGCCGCTTCAGACCAAAATGGTGGGACTACTAATTCACAGGAGGAAGACCTAGTGGCTACTCCCCAAATGAACCCGGAAATAGTACTAAGGGAACTACAGCGACTCATACCTGGGAAGTCCTCAGGTTGTGACGACGTCAGGCCATCTGTTCTGAAACAGTACGCCGAAGCTCTCTGTAGGCCCTTATGCGACCTGTTCCAACACTGAATGGATTCGGAGAAACTGATAGGGGAGTGAAAAACAGCCGTCCTTCCTCCTATCTTCAAGGGTGGGGATAGGCAAAATGCCACTATTTTATTTATTTTCTAATTTTGGTTACAGCTTGATTCCACACTGTATTTTTGGTACTAGTATGGAATTTTCAGCGTGGATATCGGCAGCCCAAATTTCGGAGGCCGACCATAGATATCTGGTGTGCACCGGTGTGGGCTCGAACCCCGGACCATGTGCATGGTCGTCGAGAGTCCTAACCACTGTGCCACCGACGCACTAGTCAAAGACCAGTAGCTCTACTCCCAGTGGTATCAAAAGTACTGGAAAGTATTATCGACGATCACATCATGGAATACCTCGATAGATCTATTATACTCCATGAAGCCCTACATGGTTTCAGGACAGGCAGATTCTGCGCAACAGACCTACTATCAGCTTGGGACGATTGGATATCATACTGGGATATGAATGTTCCAGTCCATGTGGTATTTCTAGACATTGAGAAGGCGTTTGACACCGTTCACCATGACCTTCTCCTACACAAAATGAGCCAGGTAGGTATAGGTGAGCCACTTCTGTCATGGTTAAAGGACTGTCTGGCTGAAAGGCAATTTTGCACTGAGGTCAATCGGGTCAAATCATCTTGACACAGCTCGTCATCAGGAGTGTCACTGGGGTCTATCCTAGGACCACTGATGTTTTTGACCTTTGTCAATGATCTACTATACCGTCTAAGCTATCCAACCCTTCTACACGCTGACGACGCAAAGATATGGAGGGCGATAAAGTGTCCGGAGGACTCAGATAGACTATTAGCAGATCTAAAGCTTCTGGAAGACTGGGCGGTGCCCAGCGTCATGAATTTCAACCTGAAAAGTGCAAAGTAGTGAAGTTGCGGACCTGTAGACTGTAGAATGCAAGTTACACCTGTGCAATAAAAGCTTGTCCTACACAACGTCGGAACGCGACTTGAGTCTAGTTCTAACGGAAAAGTGGACACAAGCGGTCATACACTTTACGCATAGATAGTTAGGTGCACTCACTCCTGAGCTCTTTCTACGGTTGTACAAAACATACGTCATACCATACTTTGAAGTGCATAATATTATTGTACCCCCAATGTTTAGAAGAGTCACCAACTTCTGGGAAAGAATACGAAGAAGGGGAAACAAGAGGGGTGGTTGGTCTTCGAAATAAACAATATGATGTTTAGAGGTTGACGGTATTGACGTTCGCGAATTGTACGGAGTATACTAACGCAAGATCTTATACCAACAACTTCTATAGTATAGTGTTCGTTTCTCGTGTACCGAAGGCAAAGCAAAAGACCAGAGTTGATCTTCCAAACTACGAGATATATTTGGGACCAAATCGTGGACTGAAGCGGAAGCTAAGCTGGCTAGTGATCGCGCACGAAAGTGTCACGACGGAGTAGCAAATGGCGAGGATGCTTGATCAGAAGCCTTCAGCTAAACAAGTCGACTCAAACGCTAAGGGTCAGCATCCGATGTTCGCTGATGATTCCTGTGGTCAATAATTTTGGGGAATTATTCACCGCTACAGATGAAAGGCTAAAGAACTTAGGCTTATTCACACTTCCCCACCATCGGATTAGGGGGATTTAATCACTGCCTACAAAATGACAAATGACCGGAATCACCCAAACAAAGGTGTCCTGCCATTAAGTAGGTATTGGCTTCATCGTGGAAACTCCAGAAGGATAGCTCACCAGAGGGTAAGGACCCGGGTGCGCTCCCACTTCTTTTCACTGCGGGTTTGTCATCCCTGGAATTCCTTACCGGCAGATGTAGCTATGGCAACGTCTGTGGATGCCTTTAAGCGAAGGCTGGAAAATCATGCGGTGACACAAGAACTGCGTCGAAATGACCTATCCCCTTAAAATCCCATACACCATTCAACGGTAGACAACTAAGTTCGTCGTTTTACTTCTTTACATTCTCTCTCGTCTGACTCTCCTGACAACTTTAACTACACTTATTATTATTGTCTCTTTTCTTTTGACAACGATACCGGAGGACTAACTGGTGAAAGGATCAACTCCATTCACAGTAGTAACAGTCTTGACACACCTCATGCTACAAACCACATATAATTAATTCCAGTACTACTCCTTTTGGAGTCAACCAAAGTTACGAAAGTCGAGTGGCGGGACGAGCTACGGAGAAGTTTACCGAAGATCAGGAACCTATGCTTCACAATTAAGAGGCGAGCACAAAGAAATCAAATTGGTTTATACTAGCTGGTAAGAACGATATTAGATATTGGACATTAGAGAGCGTGTATTGATTTTGCGTCACCATGAGTAGCTTGGATTTAAATCCGAAATATGAAAAAGGTAAGATTCTTACTGTTTTCTTATATAGAATCACGTACATCAAGGCGAAAAATTACTTTGTTTCCATGGGCCTCTTATGTATGAGGCGAAATGCTTAGACGTTAAAGTGAAAGAAGATGGTGTAGTATATTATGTGCATTACCTAGGTTGGAATAAGAGGTAATAATATTTCAGTAATAATTTACGGTTTAATATAGCTGGGATGAATGGGTGACTGAAAAACGAATGTTCAAGTATAATGAAGAGGGCTTGACAAAAAAACAAGAATTAGAGCGACAGATGTAACTTGTGTAAAGCAATGTTTCTGATCACGATGCTTCTTGTAATTTTCAGGAAATCCGGGAAGGTTAAAGTTTTAAGAAAGTCTGAATTAAAGTCACAGTCATTGCCACCTCCAGAAGTCTTGGAGGACGTTGAACGGACACTGAAGCCTGGTCAAGTGAAAGAAGGTGAGATATTACCCGGTTATACTAAGTTCCGCTGTAGAGGAAGGCGCTCTTAAGGCCAAGAATATAAAGACCAACCCAGCCGGAAAATTGATGCTCGTGTCCGTGTTGATGTGAAAAAGACTGAAGATACTAAACCACCCATTAAGTGTTGTGAAGATTCGAACGCATCGTCTACTCCACCTGTCACAGTAACAAGTAGGAGAAGAAGAAGCCGGGTGTCATCAGTGCTAAAGTCTCTTGAAAATGCAAGTATATCGTGCTTTTGTGTTACAATTTTTTCATTCTGTCCGATTTAATTTTGTTTTACCGAGATAGTTTGTGCTTTGGTATTGTGATTCATTTTGTGAGACACAAAAATTCCTTTTTTTCGGAGATAATAGAGTAGCAGCGTTGTGTCAAACGACAATTTTAAGTCGACATTTGTGTTATGTAGCTCATTCAAAACGTATTTTAACACTGTGACCACTAGTCGTGGAGATCGTCGTCATTAATTTTCTGTATGTTCACTCCTGCTAAGAAATTCACTTTGTTAACTGCCCTCTGGTTTCTTTCCTCTCAGAAAGTTGTTCATGAAACTGAGTGTTTCTTTGAGCTAGACTTATGTTTCAAATCAAGATAATAAAGATAGAAAGCTCTTGTAGTCTGTGTTAATCCTTGCAGTATATATCTCTGCAGAGATCTAATCTCTTCGAAAGCGTTCACCGATGGAGGTGTTACTACTGAATCAGGTAAGGAGTTCCAATTGTTGAGGATTCTGTGAGAGAATCTAAATTAAATTGTAGATGTATTTTATTCGACCTAGGTCTGAGCAACTATTTGTCGTGAAAGATGAATTTCTAAATCATCGTTTAATGTACGGTGTGCCGAAATTAAGTCACCTCTCCTCCTTCTTCGGTATGATAATGGAAAGAGACTTAAATGCTCCATCCTCTTGTCATAAGGAAGGTGTGAGGTACCACTAATTAATTTGGTCCCTACCCTCTGTATTCTTTCTAGGATATGTGCCTCCTTTTTGAAGCATGAACTCACCGCTTGTATGCAGTATTCTAGTTGAGGCGTGACATATGTTGCATAGAGTACTTAGAACAAAGACTCGTTTAATCGTTTTAAAGCCCTTCAAAGTACTTATAGCATTCTAGTCTTAGCTGCGGCTCGATTACAATTTGCGGTTGTTTTTGCGTCATGGCTTACAATAATTCCTAAGTCCTTTTGTCCCTTAACATCTGGCAGTTCTTTGTCCCCCAGAGGGTACGATGTGTAAGACCTCTGACCTAGGTGCATTACCGCACTTTTCTTGGAATTAATTTCCAGCTAATTTATCCAGATCGTTGTGTAATGCCAACCTGTCATTGTTATTATTTACAGCTTCCCACATCTTAATATCGTCCTCAAATAATAAAGATTTAAGAATTTTCGGTAGTTCATTTACGAATAGTATGAATAGCAGGAGGCCAAGCACAGTCACCTGAGATACTCCACTTAGTACTGCTTTTCACCCTCACAGTAAACCACTAACTCTCACCTTCTGCCTTCTATCCCTCAGGTAGTCCTCAAACCACTGGCATAGGCGTGTTGGTTTATTCCAAAAACTTTTAGTTTACTGAGGTGATGTAAATGGGATTACCTTGTCAAATGCTTTACTACGACCGTTGAAGACAACATCTAAAAGATGGTTCTTATCCATGACTTAGACGCTATCTTCCCTAGCTAATAGTGGATTTGTGAGACAGGATTGTACTGGTCGGAATCCATGCTGTTCCGCCTCCAGTAAGCCATGTTTCTGCATATGAGCTAAGAGCTGATCCCTTATGGTTGTTTCTGATACCTTTGCTATAATCCGGGTCAGACTTACAGGCTGGTAGTTAGATACTAACTATTGCATGTTCACCTATTTCAGGATGTAAATATGCTCGTGTTTACTTGTACGTTAAATGTCCCTCTGCTTAATTGAATAGTTTGTATTTATATGTAGTTAGGTATGTAAGTGTTCATACTCTCAACTTTACTGTTATATTTCACTGTTTTTCATATCAGGAAGATGGCCTTCTCTCTCAGCCGCGTTTGTCGATTTCACTGCCTCCATGCTTGAAATCTTGGCTTACAGATGACTGGGATTTGATTACTCAACAAGCTCGGGTAAGTAGTAATATTCAGTTGCATTATCATCCAGTTATCAGCAAAGCAATTTCCAATGTTTGAGCATTGGTCGTAATTTGTTAATTTAGTGACCAATTTAGTCACTTGGATGTTACAGTATGTACCCTAGCCCCGGGTTCCGGGTGATCAGGAATGGTCTCACCCTGAGTGTTTGCTCATTGTTGCACTTCGATGAGTTGAAACTACGAATCCAGTTGCAGTGGGTGCGTGCTGCCTGTGATTCCCAAATTAGGCTGATGAAACAGCTTCCCAGTACTTCCTGCGGCTGGTTTTCAATGCTTCTCTAACTCCTCATTGATGTCAATCTGTGATCAATTCGTAAAAAGCCTCAATGACCTGAATCATCATACTTCACTCCAGATTTCACACTTTATGAACACCTGACATGATATACTGGCAATTTTATTGTAAACACTAACTGATGTATGTTATTCTAGATATTCTAACTACCTTAACGACGTCATAAAGGCTTGAATTTCAAGCGGGAAATCTGCCTAAGTTTCAAAATCCTGTGATGACGTCCATAACGAACAATAAGTTATCATTTGGATGAGGCATTAAGGAGACAAATTTCGCCGCGAGATGATATCGTCATTTCGTAGTTTCTTTACAACCGCTTTACACAACTAACATGGTTAACAATAACATTAAAATAAAATAAAGTTCATATTTTTACGAGTTGATCACGGATTGATATCAGTTAGAGAAGCACTGTAAACCAGGGAGTACTAGACAGCTGCTGTTTCATCCTAGTTTGAGGATCATCGGCAGTACGCACCCAGTGGGATTCGAGCCCAGAACCCGGGGTGCGTTCTGCCGATGATTCCCAAACTAGGATGAAACAGCCGCTGTCCAGTACTCCCTGGTTTTCAATGCTTCTCTAACTGATATCAATCCGTGATCAACTCGTAAAAATCATGACAATTACTCAGTTATATAAAAAACAAAAGTAGTACATGCCATGCTAATGATCAATGATATTTTAATAGGTCAAGTAGTCAGTCCATGGTAGGCGAAGATTGAAGTCTATTGCTTTTTGTACACACAGTTTAGGCTGTATGTGATTAATTCTCCAAGGTGCTTCCATCACCTTCAATAACCAACCTTGAAATAGAGTTTTGTGGTGAAATAATTGTGAAACAGTCAATAATATTGATTGATTTTGTGACCTGACATTAATAAGTGTTTTGCAATCGATGGTTGATGCTGGACTTCTACTTAGATTAATTGCATTGGGATTATCTATGTGTTTTAGTAACCATTTTGGAACACGTTCTTTTCGACGATATTGGCACATTCTATTGGTTTTACCTATATAGGTGTCACCGCAGCTGCAAGTGAACTTGTAGATACAGTTTGAAGTAGAGTCCACAGAATTTCATCCTTTAATCGTAGGTAAAGGGATCGAAAATGTTCGGCATGTGAGAAGAAGAGATTCGGCGTAGAATGTGCGTTTGATGGTTGACCGAAGTCTTTGAGCTAGCTGTAACACAACTGCATAATGTGGTCACCCTTGAATGCTAGGTTAATAAAGATAACTTTCTTTGGTACAGAAGGTGTCTTTTCTGATATCATCTCGCGAAATTTGTCTTCTAAGTGACTTATTCAAAGATATATACAGATTCTCTACCTTCAGTAACTCATTCATTACCAAAGGTGAGCGGGGGTGGGGGTGTCTATCAATTTTCCTCACACAATACAGAGTGTGAGATGCACATTAAGTGTTCACAGTTATCGCCTAAGAATTAGCGATTTTCTGAATCTATTTTGTTATCAAACAACACAACAGGTCAGTGTTGTGGGTTTTTCTTCAAGTAATACACACTTGTGTAAAACCTGCACATAGACTTCAAAGTTATGCAAGAAATTTCATTGATATGTTGAAGTGGCATAACTCAAAAGCTCTCTCTGGTTGTCCATATATATATATATATGTAAGCAAAGTGATGTCAGAAAATATGAATATAAACGCGTTAAGAAGGACATTTCATCTCCGGCTAACATAAACATCATAATGTGACATATAATCCGTTGATCAATATTCTGTCCTTTAGTCCTTACCCCTCAGCTAGCTCGCGAGAACTCGCAGGGGTTAAGGATAGCACTGAGTGTTAGGGCGGAAAAATCACTTCTTGACTGGATCCCAGTAGATAGTCGTATGTGTGCGATCCGTCTGAATGGGTCCGTTAAAAGAGGGAAAGACGGTGCTACCCGTCGTTGCCTTTTCGTAGTCTCCGCCTACGCCCCGATAGACTGCAGTTCGGATAAACTAAAGGATGATTTCTACCTGAAACTGTCTAATTTCCTGCGAAAAGCAAAACGTTTAGACATAGTTGTTTTAGCAGGCGACTTAAGTGCCGAAGTAGGGAAGTTGTTCCAGACTGAGAAGTATGTAGGTGGTACGTATGAAGTTCCCTGCCGACGGACCGACAACAGTGATCGTCTTCTACAGTTTTTCTCAGATAATCATCTGTTCCTAGTCAGCACAAACTTTAGGCACAAAGAGAGACATTGTGTAAGCTGGCGACCCCCATCACCAAATCAACTTTGGAATCAGATAGACCACATAGTGATAAGGTATCGTTGTCGAGGGTCAGTAGGAGACTGCCACTCCTTCTGGGACACGTGTGTAGACTCTGATCACGCTCTGGTTCGCGGACGTTTATGCTTACGACTAAACGGACATAAAAAATTGACGTCAGCGAAACAGTTACGTCCCCAACTAGATCGAGACACTGAGTCCCTATTTAAGGAAGAAATAGCGAAACGAGTATCTGAGGTCGACAGCAGGACTTCCCCTGATGTGGCCTGGCACAACATACGGTTAGCTGTAGACACAGCGGTCAAAGCTGTTAATAAGCTAAAACCAAAAGTTAGTAAGAGCCATTGGATATCTGCTGCCTCATCCGAACTGATTGACGCAAGAAGACTGATTCTGGCGAGCTCCGTTTATGATGAGGAGCGAAAGCTACTCAAACAAAAACTAACACGAAGTCTTCGCAATGACCGTGAACAGTGGCGGGCGACAAAAGCAAAAGAGATGGAAAAGGTATCGGCAATCGGTAACACCAGACAACTGTTTAGGCTTATCAGGGAAACAGGTGGTAAAAGGCAAATGATAAGTGAAACAATCTGATTGACGACTAGAACGCTAGAAAGAACACTATGCGGAGCAGTCTAATTGGGCTACAGCCACGCTCAACCTGCCGACTATCCAACACCTTCCTGAATGGGATATAGGCACAGACCCTCCGTCCTTAACTGAGGTAACTAAAGCTGTCACTAGTCTGAAACAAGGCAAAGCAGCAGGACCTGATGGAATGACTCCAGAGGTATTTAAGTACGGTGGAGAAAGTTTACTGTCTGGATTAACTGAGGTACTAAGGCAGCGTCTGGGAATCAGAGAAAGTCCCGTCAGGTTGGTGTAAGTCACTGATTATCCCCATATACAAGAAGGGAAACAAGTCTTCCTGTGATAATCGCAGAAGGATTAGCTTGACTAATATAGTCCTAATATAAGTTCTAGGCTCAATAATCATGCGTAGACTAAGTGGTGCTCAGGAGGCACAAACACGAGGGAGCCAGGCAGGCTTTAGACCAGGGAGAGGGTGTATTGATCATATCTTCACCCTCCCACAGATTCTAGAACATAGGCATTCTTACCGGCGGCGTCCAACAATCGCTATATTTCTTGACCTGAAGGCGGAATTCGATTCTGTCGAATGAGAGGTACTTTAGCGTTGCGTTGCTGTAAAGGGAATGCCGAGAAAATACATTGCACTCATTAAGGCACTCTACTCGAACTCATGCAGTCAGCCAGGTGAGGGCTTACGATGAGTTGTCACCTGAAGTGGTGACGATTAGTGGTGTCCATCAGTGATGCCCACTATCCCCACTTTTATTCAATTTCATCATAGATGTACTAATTGACTTAAACCTAACTCACTTTAGAGACTCAGGGATTGACTCGCTACCAGGGAACAATCTCGTTGACTTAGAATATGCAGACGATATAGTCCTTCTAGGCGAGGACGCTGACAAAATGCAGTCTTCTGAACTCCTTGAGCTGCAGTCTTTGAATGATTGGCATGCGATTCGCTCCCGCCAAATGCAAGATGATGTTACAGAACTGACCGGACTACGCTGACTCCTAGTTTAGAAATAGGAAGTGAAGTGGTAGAGCACGTTGACCACTTCACTTATTTGGGAAGTACCACCAGCCAACGCCAACGGGTTGATCTCTGACGAGATCTCATCACGGATACAGAGAGTTAGTTTCTCATATCCCAGTTTACCCCATCTCTGGCGTAGACGTGATATCCGCCTACCTGTCGACCAAAGGGTGGGTGTACTGCTCATCAGTCCGCTCCGTCCTCCCTTTATGGCTGGCTGTGAGACCTGGCCATTGAGAGTGGAAGACATGAAAAGCCTAGCTAGCTGTCTTCGATCATAGGTGCCTGCGCTCTATCTCCCGTGTGAAGTGGTATAATAAGGTGAGCAATATTGAGGTTAGGCGTCGGTCGAGTGTTAGGTAAGGTGGGAGGGGGAAATCAGTCGACGAGGCTGTGAAGCTACATCGACTGAGATGGTTAGGAAATGTGTTACGCATGCATGCGTAGTCATCCATTGCCTTCCTCGACTACGGGGTAATGTTAGCTGACATAGGGTCAGGCTGGAAAAGAGCTAGCGGCCGTCAAACCAAAACATGGCCCCAGTCAATGAAATCCACAACAATTAGCTTAAGCCAGCCACGTAGGAAGGTGTAGACTGCTGTCTGGTTGGGGTCCTCGGGACGGTATAAACCAATGAAGGCTGGAGACAATTGATGATATGGCTCAAAATCGTTCTCGGTGATGGCTAGCGCAGATGCATCCACTCCTTCTGACTTATGATGAAACTATATCGTTCTTCGTTATTACTATTCCTTTGTCTCACACCTCTGTTTACTGTCTCTATTATGCATTTCTTCTACTTTCTTCTCTTGCTGTCGAGTCACCTGACAACTCCAGTAGGTCAAATAAAGCAGCTCAATTTTCAGAAAGAAGACAAAGCAATAAGTTCGACAGGGTGCTTCAACTAAACTCTAATCCTAAACACCATAACTTTGAAAATACATCTAATCATAAAATTCTAGCTACTAACAGTTTGAACAGACATGAAGGTGTGATGTGTGTTAGCTAATGATACATAGGAAATCCTGATTAATAAATAAATAGAAATTGGATATGTATCACTAATTAATTAATAATACTTGGTCAAAATTCCCGATTGTCTATATCTTCTTATGGAGCCGTTAAGAAATGTCTTACAACCATTTACCCACACACACACACACACACACACTCTGTTTAAAGTGTTTAAGAAAGGTAGACCAATATTTATAAGAGGTCTAAGGTGAAATTTTGATCACAACTCATTCAATTTTCTGTTGATTATACATGTTGATACCTGTTTCATGACTCATATGATTGGAAATAGTTTTTGAAAACAACAGATGTCCCCCTTTCATGCATATAAATCACCTCTGTTATGTTAATTTCGATTAATTTCCGTGAAGAAGTTCGGACTAGATTTCGACGAAGGCAGGAAACGTTGGAATTACTGATTTCCATCTCGCTGAGATTTTACAAATATAATTTTTTTTTACAAATGATTGAGTTTCGTGCTGAGTCAGTGGAATGAGTTCTCAATTCTCCTGCTAGTCACCATCCACCAATTAAATACTCGATACCCCTAGTTAAGATTTATTGTTCTCAGCGTAATTTTGTTTTTTGTGTGATAAATTGTAGTGTCACTACTACTGTTATAGAGTAAATCTCACTTCATATTTTTCTTTTTGTTTCCTGAATTTTTATTCTTCGGTTAAATTTTCACAGCTTTATGAACTGCCTGCTTCTCAGCCAATATGTAATATTTTATCAGATTTCTTAGAAAGTTCTGAGGCGGAAATGATTAAATCGGAATCAACTCGTGAAATAAACAACTATACTTCTTCTGAATCTGAGAACACTCAACTGAGCACTAACGTACCAATAGACCCGGGTGTACGGCGTGAATTTGTTGCTGGAATTCAGTATCTTTTCAATCATACTATTGGTTCTCATCTTTTATACAAATTCGAGAGATTACAATACGCTAAGCTATTGAAACAGCATACAGGCAAGAGAATGTCAGACATTTATGGGTCAATTCACTTGTTGAGGTTGTTTGGTAAGTCTTAATGTTCCCTCCTTTATGATGTGTAAAACTTGGGCATTGTGGTGGTAGTAAGTAATTCCATATTAGTTTGCTTATTAGATGTGTCACACAGTCACAGAAACAGTATTAGTATCTGCTGGATGACAAAGTTTCGAACACAATTTACTTATTGTTCATAATCATATCATCAATTATAATCACACGACTTTGAAACTAGAGATTTATGGTGTTCTTTTTTCTCTCCTATTTGTCGTCATTGGGGTAATAGAATTTTCCAGATATCTGGGTGGACAGGTGTTGAATCATTGCTATTACACTTATTTGCCACACCAAAAGTATGGTGGAGGTATGTAGATGACACATTCACTGTACTAAGAACAGAGGATATAGATAGATTTTTCGAACACATTAACTCAAAGGTGGAGGCAATTCATTTGACTTATGATGAATTGCATAGTCAGTAAGGGGAACTGCCAATATTAGATTATAGTGTAAAAAGAAAAGAAGATGGGAAGTTAAACACGCTAGTGTGTTTACAGAAAACCCACAGATATTTGGACTTCCGATCATTCCATCCTATGTCAGTAAAAATAGGATTGGTGAAATGTTTAAGTGACAACAGAGCACAAAAACTAAGTAGTACCAAGGAAAATCTATGACAGGAAGTGAGACATATAAGAGAGGCCTTGAAACTTAATAATTACCCTGATATATTAGTCAGAAAGTATGTAGGGAAATGTAGAAATAAAATAAATAATGATAGTAGTGATAGTGATGATGATAATAATAATAATGATAATGACGACATGCATGTCAAATATGCGCAAGACAACACCGACAATATATATATATATATATATATATACATGATTTTACAGCTAGCTATGTGAATGAATTCGCCGGCGAAAAGAGTCTCTCCGCTGAACATTTTCTCTTTATCAAAGGTATAAGTTAAAAGTAAAATACATTCTAACTGTTTCTAGACGGTTTGTTGATAGAATTGTTATTATTACAATGGCTAAGTATGGTGTGACTGTTGCAAGTATTGCAAAAAGCATTTTAAAGCATTGATTTTGAGCCATATCATCAATTGTCTCCAGCCTTCATTGGTTTATACCGTCCCGAGGACCCCAACCAGACAGCAGTCTACACCTTCCTACGTGGCTGGCTTAAGCTAATTGTTGTGGATTTCATTGACTGGGGCCATGTTTTGGTTTGACGGCCGCTAGCTCTTTTCCAGCCTGACCCTATGTCAGCTAACATTACCCCGTAGTCGAGGAAGGCAATGGATGACTACGCATGCATGCGTAACACATTTCCTAACCATCTCAGTCGATGTAGCTTCACAGCCTCGTCGACTGATTTCCCCCTCCCACCTTACCTAACACTCGACCGACGCCTAACCTCAATATTGCTCACCTTATTATACCACTTCACACGGGAGATAGAGCGCAGGCACCTATGATCGAAGACAGCTAGCTAGGCTTTTCATGTCTTCCACTCTCAATGGCCAGGTCTCACAGCCAGCCATAAAGGGAGGACGGAGCGGACTGATGAGCAGTACACCCACCCTTTGGTCGACAGGTAGGCGGATATCACGTCTACGCCAGAGATGGGGTAAACTGGGATATGAGAAACTAACTCTCTGTATCCGTGATGAGATCTCGTCAGAGATCAACCCGTTGGCGTTGGCTGGTGGTACTTCCCAAATAAGTGAAGTGGTCAACGTGCTCTACCACTTCACTTCCTATTTCTAAACTAGGAGTCAGCGTAGTCCGGTCAGTTCTGTAACATCATCTTGCATTTGGCGGGAGCGAATCGCATGCGAAACATTCGTAGATCGCTAATCGGCAAATAACAGATACGTACATAGTTTTCAAGCTCATACATACAACAATTCATGTGAATTGAACCTAAAAATGTCTGTCTTTTGAAACTTTTTTCTGTTTATAGTTAAACTCCGAGACATGGTTTCATTCGTCCGAGTCGATGATGATAGTTTGCCTATGCTAGAAGCTTTAGTTGCTGAGTTTTTGCAGTGAGTTTTTATAAATTATTTTTTATTGCACTGTAAATTAACGGAGAGTTAGATGCATATAATTTTCTCACATTACACACTCATGATTTTGCACAATGCATTAATTGTATATTTTGATTTGACACTAGTAACTAGTGTGACGACGTGTCTAGTCGTTTCTTTGGTGCGGACTGGATTCTATCAGTCAGTCAGGTTTCCAGTGTGGCCACCATTCCACTAAGTAGCTCACCATCACGGTGTACACATTGATTTGATGATATTAGATAGTTGGAGGCAGTCGGCCAGAGGAAGCCTTCCCTGGACCTAGGTTTCGTGCTAGTTGGGACTCGCCAGTCAGCAAGTCGTATCTGCAACCACATTGAAGGAACTCATGTCCCTTTTGAGGAGATTGGAACCCGTGTCACCCAGTGAGTACTGCATTGAGCTAGTTACTAGTGTCAAATCAAAATAGCCACTACAGTCATACAGGAGGTCAATCGCCAGCCCGAATAGCTGCAGCACTGGGTGACGCGGGTTCAAATCTCAGATGGGTGGGATATGAGTTCCTTCAACATGGTTGCAGATACGTGTTGCTGACTGATGAGTGCCGAATAGCACGAAACCTAGGTCCGGGAAAGGCTTCCTCTGGCCGATTGCCTCCAACAATCTAATAGCATTAATTGTATGGACTATCAACAATCGCTACTTTTGTGTGCCGACCAAGATGCTTGGTTTTAGATTGTTAATCTTAGAATCGAATATATTTCACGTTAGTAAGTAAATATTCATTGTAGTACTAACAGTGCAGTCTTTTCTCCACCTCAAAGTTCTAAGGTAGTATTGTAACGACAGAAGACAAGGACCAGGCAAAAGATCGTTTATTTGGTAAATCAACAGATATACCTTTCGATTTTCATGTAGATTATTATAGATTATTGTTAACAGACAAACACAGGCTTCTGATTGGTGGTTGTTTCTCGCTGAACGTTAATCTTTCATCTGTTTGTGGCCGTTTCTTGAAGTTCAGATCATCAGCTATCTGCAAATTGTATCCGCCTACGCAAATTCTTCTGTGGTTGTTGAGTCAGTCTTTGTTCTTGTTCTTTTCTCATGACCAATGTTGGGGACGTACACGTTGGCGTAAATGACTCTCTACCGATTTTGGCTAGCAGACAGTCCTCACCACAGTATTCCATTAACTATGACTCACTAGTGAACATTTTTTTCAAAAACAGATAAATAGGTGATTGTTTACTTTTTGATTTGTCTTCTATAGGCCTCAGTGGGATAAAAGTTTTGTTTTTCACCACTTTTCAATATATATCTTAACCATTCTGTTACCAATGAATAATTTTGCAACGTTAGCTTACTTACTCTAACCTATCATATATGTATATATATGAGAACATCAGAGAGAAAACCTGAGACTCTAACTGCACGTAAAAAGCCTCTATTTATTAAGTTACGATTTAGTGGTGACTTGTCAAGTGAGGTTTTGTTCCAGAGATTTTCCAGGAGTATACGGAGAAGGTTTTACGCAGCATACCTGTGTTTGTCATTCTCCAGCAGACGGATGATTGGGACGCAAACGAAGGATAGATAGCTAGATAGTTTTGCCACATCTATGTGCATTTATCAATTCAGCCGCACCTGCGGTGACAGTTATGTTGAGCGTGCTACTAGACAGCTTAGCCAACGTGTTAGTGAACATCTCCCAACATCGTGGTTTGGCAAAGGACAGACAAATACAATCCGTAGCTCAATTTTATCACATTTAATTGATAGTGGTCATGTAGTGGAGAAAACGAGAGCTTTCAAAGTAACCCATCGTATCCCACCGAATCTTTCCAATAGACTTCGTATTTGTCTACTGCGCATAGCTGAGGCGATAGGTATTCGAAATATTAAACCTAAACTATGCATTCAAAAGAAGTTGGTACAGCCATTAACTCTCTCTTGTTGGCCTATTAAGACATAACCAACTGATGACTTCTCAGTGTCTGTAAGTATGGTATGTGCTTTGCGCCGTCTAAGTGCAAAGTACTGTTACAAGATTGGCAGGAGCCTGTACCTGCACTCACTCTTGCGGGTGAACCGCTTGAAGTTGTTGATAAGTTTGTGTACCTGGGTAGTTGTGTGAGTGCTGGCGGAGAGAGGGGTGACGGATGAGATTTCCAACCGTATAATGAAGGCTAGGGTGGCATACATCAAGTTGAGCCACCTATGGCGCCGTCGCGACGTTAGCCTGGTTGTCAAAGGTCGGGTATACAATGCTTCGGTGCGGGCTGCGCTGCTCTACGCCTGTGAAACCTGGCCTCTCCGAGTAGGCTGAGGATGTGCGGCGACTCTGCGTGTTCGATCGCCGCTCTCTCCGCAGGATTGCTTGCGTTCGATGGCATCATCGCGTGAGTAATTCTGAGGTTCGGCGGCGTGTGTTTGAACAAAGTGGAGATCACCATTCATTGAATGTCGTCATCTAGAAACACCGGCTCCGGTGGCTTGGACATGTGCTCCGAATGTCACCCCAGAGGCTTCCGTACAGGTCTCTGTTCGCTGGCCAGCCCTGGGACGGGATGGAAAAGGCGGAGAGGTGGTCAGTCCATGACGTGGCGTCGTGGGATGAAGGATTTTTGTGCTAGATTAGCATCGGTTGGTGTGTCACGACTCCCTGGTTGGGGTTCGAGAGATAGCTCAAATCGATGGCTCGAAACGTTATCGGATATGGCCAAGAATCATAATCAGTGGCGAATGTGTTGCGATTTCCTTCTTTCTTTGATTGATAAAACTATTATTATTATGACAAATTGCACAATTTATAATCACCATCTTATTATCCTACAGAAAAACACCATGATTGGTTTATATTTGAATTCTTATTTGTAAAGTTATGTGTGTATATTAGAGTTAAGCCTGATGAAATCTAATTGGAAACAACAATATTGTTCGCTTAAATGTGTTGATCTAAATTTTCCTATGGGAATATTTAATATATATATTTCTGTCATTTGATACCGTAGAATTTACTGGTAAAGAAGTATATTCTAGTTGACAGACTGAATACGGGAGAGAAAGTAATTTCTCGGATTCTAATGCGATCCACAACCAAAAAGAACCCAATGTTGAGTATTTGTTTATTGAAATTACTGTATAGAAGGATTCGCTTCTAATTATTTCACTGGTTTATGTATATAAATGAAGGTTTATTAGTCGGCTTCTCTCTGTTTTCCTGGTTTTCAGGTTTCTGAAACAAAATGAAACCCGTTACTTCCGAATCGAGGATTACAGTGTGGCGACAGCAGAATACCAACGAAGAGCAATGTGTTAAATGCGCATATAACTAACTGTCACCGTTTTAAGAAAAGAATTGATACGTATTCTCTGAAATATAATGTATAATATAATTCCATCTTAGTCCGTTTATTAGATGTATCACACGGTCACAGAAACAGTATTAGTATTTACTGGATGACAAAGTTTTGAACACAATTCACTTATTGTTCATAATCATATCATCAATTATAATCACACGACTTCGAAACTTGAGTTTTATAGTTTTCTTTGTCCTCTCCTATTTGACATAACATAACATAAGCTTTATTCCAAATCAGTACTTGTGATACAGAATGGAATTCTCAGCATTTTACTACAATATTGCATCCAGTTTTTTACATTAACAATAAATAAAGTTCTACATAGTTTAAAGTTATCTCAACAACATATTAGTATGTCGGTAGCAAAGCCAAAATTAAAGTGTTTGAAGGTGTTAGAAAAGTAGATACTACTAGCATATTTACTGGCGTAAGCGATAGCAAAATGTTCGAGATGTACAGAGTGTGAAAGAACGAACAAGAATGTTTTAAGTAGAGTTTGCAAGGAAGAGAGAAACAAAACAGCACATAACAAAAATAAATACAGAATGAAGAGCGAGAAAACGTTGTACCTATAAATGATGTGAGTTGGAAAGACAAGATCCATTGGTTCTACTGACTATTTAATAAGTTAAAGGTTTCATGCCTGATGCATTCTTTGTCGCACAGAACACGAGCTAAGTAGGGTATGGATGAGTTTTTGTACTTACTAGTGCGGGCATATAGTTTCCTATATAGGCTTCTTGTTTTCCCTGAAGAGATACATGGGGAGAGTTGTGAATGTAGAGGGTGTTGTGAGTCAGATAAAATGGATTTCGCCCATTTTTCACATGAGTCCATATGCCTGTCCACCAGAATATTAACTAGCTGGCTAAGTGGCAAGCTGCTTACCCTGCTGACAACCTTTAACATCCTACGTAATAAGGTATAGTCTTTCTTCAATAGCCCAGGAAAGACTAAGGGGGAACAATAGTAGTAGGGGTAGTAGAATTTTCCAGATATCTGGGTGGACAGGTGTTGAATCATTCCCAATAACACGTATTTGCAGTTGGTTCGATAATCAAAGCTTCCGTTATCAAGCGCTCCCTCCCCACACCCTGTGGCAAAAGTCAAAGTGACAAGGTACACAAGAACTGTGTTTAGGAAATCCGTGATGAGACCTTGTAACGGGATGGTGGTCTTCGTAAGTGTATGATCTGACGATTGGCTTTCGTCATCTTCCTTCATGATTCATGAGACAACTGGGTTTATATTCATAGGTCGATAACCTCATGGCCACTCCCTTACTTTGTTCGTTCACTTTCATTTGAAACCTAAATATACTGTAGAAGTCAAGTATACCTGCACTCCTAATGTGACCGAAACGAGTAAATTTATCTGAAAAAGAGAATATGTTCAGCGAAGAGACTCTTTTCGCCGGCGAATTCATTCACATAGCTAGCTGTACAATCGCATTTATATGTACATATATATAACTATTTGTGTGTGACGTTTGTCAAGTTTAGATAATTAATCGGGTAATATAAGAAGGAGATCTAATACAGAAACAAGGCTAACTAGACAACAACTAAAGTGAGATTGAGTTAGTTAGTAAGTTAGATTACGTAATATGTAATTGACTAAAATGTTTCAACTTAGGTCAGGGTAGAAACAAAGGTAATTACAAGTAGAGACCAAGTAGAAGTAGGGTAGAAAATAATGCCATATAGATTAGAACTGAAATGGAGCAAATAAGTTGGATGACGTAACATAAATGACTAGAAATTGAGCGTTGGTCAAGTCAGCAACAGTAGTAATGAGGTGTAGAAATTAAATCGGGTGGGGGTAGAGAACAAGAAGGTTGAAAATGTAAAATATTACAACTGAAAAGACAAAATGATACTAATGAAGAGACAAGAGAAAAGTATTAGGTAGAATTTATTTGTCGGGTAATAAGATAGATTACGTCCATTGCAAGTGTAGTGATTGAACGAACTTCCTGTGTATGCAGAGTTCAGGACTTAGCAAGCGAATCACCATTGCTTCTGCAGTATGACGAAGTCTGATTCTTACATTTTTAGAAAGACTACTTGGTATTCTGTAGACAACTTTGAAGTTTGTTTGGAGTGTAGCTTGGTGTCCGGAATCTATCAGATGTTCTAAGATGGAGCTTTGGGGCCATCGTTTTTCTCCTATGTAAGACCATGTTGGTAAGTGTTTGGTGACACGTTTGGAAATCGAACACTGGGTACGGCCGATACACCTGGGTGCACACGAGCAGGTGAATTGATAGATACACGTCGATGATGATTCACGTTCACGTGAATCATAAGTTTTGTGGAGAAAGTTAGTCGTAGTTCATCTGCGAAGAAGGTCTGAACGCGACAGTCGATTTCTTAGTGTTTCCGCAGATATATCTCCATTGAATTGAAGGTTCATGTAGAGTAGTTTTTTCGAGATGCTAAGCATGTGCGGCTTTTGTGGTCTGGGATACATAGATTTTGCAATAAATCGTTCTGGATAAAAATTCTCGACGAGGATTCTCTTGATATTGTCCAGTTCATCTTCTATGGTGTCAGGAGTGCAAATTCTGTGGACTCTGAGCCACTGGGATCTATTTTGATCCATGTCACCAATAGTTTGCAGTCATCGAATATCAGCGGGGCCCCGGTTATCAGACAATCTATACTTCTGTAAGTGGCTCAAACTAACAACAGTCAAACACTTGGTGTAATGTTTTGCTTCGACAACTAGAAACCTCTTTTCCGGACTTGTCAGACTTCTCAGCTAAGATTGCTCGTCGATGGGAGCGGCCATTTGTTATGAATAATAGATTCCCTAGCTATCTCAGTCGATTCATATTGACAACTTTATGAGTTGACTTTCTCTATTTATTCAATACCCTACACACAAATACTCATTGTTTCTCTCCATATCACGCCACTTAACAGGAGAGAGACAGACTACAAAACCTTAGGATCAAAGATGGATGGTTAGGCTCTTCATATCTTCCAACTTCAACAGCCAAAGACTCACAGCCAGAAAGAAGTATGGGGTGAACTGCTGCCTAGTACACACGTCCCCTTAAGGATAAAGGAATATCACGTGGACGCAAATTCCTCGGCGTATCTTTTGTACTCAACTGTTATGTACTGCTGTTGAGTGAGTTATTAGAGTTTTACCCGTCGCCAAATTATTGTTGTGTACTGGTCGAGTAACTAGTAGTCCTGACGCAAGAAGGCGGAAATCAGAAAACCACCAGGTTCACGATGATACTTGTATTTTCAAACACAAGGAAAAATCAATGTCACACAAGAGTGTGAGTGAAAAGTATCAATGTCCAAACAAGTGTGTGAACACAAGTGTATGAGCGAATGTTCAAAATGAACGAATCAATAGACAGTCTTAACATGATTGTTAATTGTAATGGAATATCGATCCGTATATACATAGCAAAATATAACAGACTGTCAAACAAACACACATATTGTGTGGATATATATCACGAACTCAGATTTCGTCTGCGTTTAGTTCATTATAGTTGATGCAACTCCTCAAAACAGCCATTTCACTCCTTATCCTGAAAGTGTCGCGGAAACTCTTCCTTACAGTTCAAGGACGTACTTATTCCTTTATCAGAGGCAACTATAGTTTGCGATGTATCTACCGGCACTAATCTTCGGTTTGTTCCTCTCAGATGCTGAACAGCGTTGTTTCAACACTTACATTCGCTTTCTCATTCTGGAGTACGTGCTACGGTCAGACTTATCAGCGAACGTTTCGTGTGGCCTAGAATGAACTCTGACATTCGGAGATGGGCAGGGGAATGTCTCCAATGCCAATGCTCAAAAAAAGTACATCGCCACACTGTTACAACGCCGAAGACGTTTGGTTTACAAGAAAAAAGATTTCAACATGTTCATATAGACATTGTAGGACCACTACCAACATCAAGAGTATATTATACACACATATCCTGACAGCGATCAATAGGTTTACTCGATGGGCTATTACATGCCTCCTAAACGATATATCTGCAGAAAATGTTGCTTTGGTTTTTCTCGACCGTTGGGTGTCAAATTACGGTGTACCAACTACTATTACATCCGACTGAGGCGTTCAATTCCAATCGACGCTGTTTCGTGAAGTAACGAGACTCCTTGGAGTGAAACATATCTCCACAACAGCTTATCATCCGGCAGACCAGTCCTGTAGCTTCATTTTACATTTTACACGGAGCAAATAATAAATAGCATGTTGAAAATTCCTGTCTATGAATCTGTCTGCTACAACTCCATTATAGATAAGATTTTATTTTGATAAACTGTCTCACAGTGTAGTTTTATACAGTAATATTGACTGATGACCACAAGTTTCGAGCACAAACTATTGCCACTCATAATCATATCAAGTCACTCACCCACTCACTCACTCACACAACTTTCTTGTTTCCCGTCATTTATATACATGTGTGGAATTGATGATTAGATATGTGAATACAAATCAGTAATATAGGAGACAATGTTCATTCAGAAATAATAATAATGATAATAATAATATAGTAATATGAGTGTTATTCATCAAATACAATCAGATGGGAAATTAGACGAGTGTTTTTATAGTTAAAATAAATAACTTGTTAGAATGTTGTGATGTACGTGAACTGAATTGAAATAGAATACAATTTAAGATTATTTATTATCCTCCTCTGATTTCACTGACTGACTGCCTGACTGAATCACTGATGGTAATAATATCTTCCATATCTCTGGTATTTGCATTGAGTCATTTCGATTGTGCATGTGTTGGGTGTAGACTGGATGAACCAGGCAGGATTCAGTAATCAACCTCTCTCTCTCTCTCCACTTACCTAGATTACTTCTTAGAATTTTAACCCTCTCCCATCATGCTATTTTGTGATTGTGTGTTAATGCATGCATGCAGTGCAATGTAGTGCTGAGCTTTTTTCCAAATTACT